TCAGAAGGAGTGGTACCAGCTCCTCTTTGTATGTCTGGTAGAATTCGGCGGTGAACCCATCTGGACCTGGGCTTTTTTTGGTTGGTAGGCTATTAATTGCTGCCCCAACTTCAGCCCTTGTTATTGGTCTATTCAGGGTTTTGACTTCCTGATTTAGGCTTGGGAGGGTGTAAGTGTCCAGGTATTTATCCATTTCTTCCAGGTTTACTGGTTTATGTACATAGAGTTATTTGTAGTAATCACCGATGATGGTTTGTATTTCTGTGGAATTGGTGGTGATATCCCCTTTATCGTTTTATTATTGCATCTATTTGATTATTCTCTCTTTTATTTTTTATTTTATTTATTTATTTATTTATTTATTTATTTTTTGAGACGGAGTCTCGCTCTTGTTACCCAGGCTGGAGTGCAATGGTGCGATCTCGGCTCACCGCAACCTCCGTCTCCTGGGTTCAGCCAATTCTCCTGCCTCAGCCTCCTGAGTAGCTGGGATTACAGGCACGTGCCACCATGCCCAGCTAATTTTTTGTATTTTTAGTAGAGACGGGGTTTCACCATGTTGACCAGGATGGTCTCGATCTCTCGACCTCGTGATCCACCCGCCTCGGCCTCCCAAAGTGCTGGGATTACAGGCTTGAGCCACCGCGCCCGGCCTTTTCTTTTTTATTAATCTGGCTAGCAGTCTGTCTATTTTGTTGATCTTTTCAAAAAACCAGCTCCTGGATTCATGGATTTTTTGAAGGGTTTTTTATGTCTCTATCTCCTTCCGTTCTGCTCTGATCTTAGTTATTTCTTGTCTTCTGCAAGCTTTTGAGTTTTTTTGATCTTGCTCCTCTAGCTCTTTCAATTTTGATGATAGGGTGTCGATTTTAGATCTTTCCTTGCTTCTCATGTGGGCATTTATTGCTGTAAATTTCCCTCTAGACACTGCTTTAAATGTGTCCCAGAGATTCTGGTACATTGTATCTTCATTCTTGTTGGGTTTCAAGAACATCTTTATTTCTGCCTTCATTTCATTGTTTATCCAGTCAACATTCAAGAGCCAGTTGTTCAGTTTCCATGAAGCTGTGTGATTCTGGGTTAGTTTTTGAATTCTGAGTTCTAATTTGATTGCACTGTAGTCTGAGAGACTGTTATGATTTCAATTCTTTTGCATTTGCTGAGGAGTGATTTACTCCCAATTATGTGGCCAATTTTAGAGTAGGTGTGATGTGGTGCTGAGAGGAATGTATATTCTGTGGATTTGGGGTGGAGAGTTCTGTAAATGTCTATTAGGTTTGCTTGGTCCAGGTCTGAGTTCAAATCCTGGATATCCTTGTTCATTTTCTGTCTTGTTGATCTGTCTAATATTGACAGTAGAGTGTTAAAGTCTCTCACTATTATTGTGTGAGACTCTAAGTCTCTTTGTAGGTCATTAAGAACTTGCCTTATGTATCTGGGTGCTCCTGTATTGGGTGCGTATGTATTTAGGATCATTAGCTCTTCTTGTTGCATTGATCCTTTTACCATTATGTAATGTCCTTCTTTGTCTCTTTTGATCTTTGTTGGTTTAAAGTCTATTTTATCAGAGATTAGGATTGCAACTCCTGCTTTTATTGCTCTCCATTTGCTTGATAAATCTTCCTCCATCCCTTTATTTTGAGCCTATCTGTGTCCTTGCATGTGAGATGGGTTTCCTGGATACAGCACATTGATGGTTTTTTTACTTTTTATCGAATTTGCCAGTCTGTGTCTTTTGATTGGGGCATTTAGCCCATTTACATTTAAGGTTAATATTGTTATGTGTGAATTTCATCCTGCCGTTTTGATGCTAGCTGGTTGTTTTGCCCATTAGTTGACACAGTTTCTTCATTGTGTCAATGCTTTTTACCATTTGGTACATTTTGGAGTGGCTGGTACTGGTTGTTCCTTTCTATGTTTAGTGCTTCTTTCAGGAGCTCTTGTAAGGCAGGCCTCGTGGTGATGAAATCTCTCAGCAATTGCTTGTTCGTAAAGGATTTTATTTCTCCGTTGCTTATGAAGCTTAGTTTGGCTGGATATGAAATTCTAGGTTGAAAGTTCTTTTCTTTAAGGATGTTGAATATTGGCCCTCACTCTCTTCTGGCTTGTAGGGTTTCTGCTGAGAGATATGCTATGAGTCAGATGGGCTTCTCTTTGTGGGTAACCCAACCTTTCTCTTTGGCTGCCCTTAGTATTTTTTCCTTCATTTCAACCCTGGTGAATCTAAGGATTATGTGCCTTGGGTTTGCTCTTCTTGAGTAATATCTTTTCAGTATTCTCTGTATTTCCTGTACTTGAATATTGGCCTTGCTAGGTTGGGGAATTTCTCTTGTATATCCTGAAGAGGGTTTTCCAGCTCGGATTCATTCTCTCCATCAAATATGGGATTATGTGAAAAGATTTAATCTATGTTTGATACACCTATCAAATGCAGATTAGGTCTTCTCACATAATCCCATATTTCTTGGAGGCTTTGTTCATTTCTTTTCATTCTTTTTTTCTCTGATCTTGCCTTCTCATTTTATTTCATTGAGTTGATCTTCAATCTCTGATATCCTTTCTTCTGCTTGTTCAGTTTGGCTATTGAAACTTGTGTATGCTTCATGAAGTTCTTGTGTTATGTTTTTCAGCTCCATTAAGTCATTTATATTCTTCTCTAAGCTGTTTATTCTTGTTAGCATTTCATCAAACCTTTTTTGAAGATTCCTGGTTTCTTTGCATTGGGTTAGAACATGTTCTTTTAGCTCAGAGAAGTTTGTTATTACCCACCTTCTGAAGCGTTTTTCTGTCAATTCATCAGACTCATTCTCCATCCAGCTTTGTTCCCTTGCTGGTGATGAGCTGTGATCTCTTGGAGGAGGAGAGGCGTTCTAGTTTTGGGTACTCTCATCCTTTTTGCTCTGGTTTCCTCCCATATTTGTGGATTTATCTATCTGTGGTCTTTGTAGTTGGTGACTTTCAGATGAGGTCTCTGAATGGATGTCCTTTTGGTTGATGATGAAGTTATTTCTTTCTGTTTTTTAGTTTTTCTTCTAACAGTCAGGCCCCTCTGCTGTAGGACTTCTGGAGGTCCACTCCAGACGCTGCTTGCCTGGGGATCACCAGTGGTGGTTGCAGAACAGTAAGGGTTGCTGCCAGTTTCTTCTGTTATCTTCATCCCAGAAGGATACCCGCTAGATGTCAGCCTGAGCTCTCCTTTATATCTTTGGATATACGGGGGTCAGGGAGCTGCTTGAGGAGATAGTCTCTCCCTTATAGGAGCTCAAGTGCTGAACTGTGACCTCTATTGTTCTGTTCAGAGCTGCTGGGCAGGTTTGTTTAAGTCTGCTGCAGTGGAACTCATAACCACCTTTTTTTCCCAGTTGCTCTGTCCTGGGGAGTTAGGGCTTTATTTATAAGTTCCTGACGTGCTGCTGCCTTTTTTCAGAGCTGCCCTGCCCAGTGAGGAAGTAGCCTAGTCATAGTCTGCCAGCAGAGGCATTGTTGAGCTGCTGTGGGCTCTGCCCAGCTGCTGTGTGAAATTCCTTGTGGTTTTGTTTATAGAGGTGTAGTTAGAACTGCCTTGGTAATGGTGGTCTGCCTCAGTAATGGTGGATTGCCTTGGTAATGGCGGACTGCCTCAGTAACAGTGGACTGCCTTGGTGATGGCAGACTGCCTTGGTAATGGCAGATGCCCTTCCCCCAACAGAGCTGTACCGTCCCAGGTCCAGCTGCACTTGCTGCAGAATTCTCAGCCCAGAGCGTTTCAGATTGCTGGTCTTTGTGGGGGTGGAATCCACCGAGCCAGATCACCTGGCTCCCTGTTTCAACGCTCTTTTTCTTCAGTTGAATGGGTGGCTCTGTCTCCCAGGTATTCCAGGCACCAGTTGAAATGGCCACCCAGATTTCTGTGAGTTTTTGTGTGGCAACCCACTGCGCTGGCTAAAACAGCCATGCTGGAAACTCGTGGCACTTTTCAGCCCAGGAATCTTCTGGTCTGTGGGCAGTAATAACTCATTTGGAAATGCGGTGTTCACTCACCCTCTACATTGTCTCTCTGGGAGCTGTACTCCAGTGCTGTTCTTATTCAGCCATCTTGGATCCGCCCTTGACCTAGCTTACATAGTTCTAACAATATATCTGCTGTCATTCTTGTTCCTCCAACTTTTCTTGTTTGTTTTTAAGATTTTATCACTAGATTATAGCAATTTAATTAAAATGAGGCTGTGATTTTCCTTATGTTTATTCTTAGGACTCATTTCTCTTCTTAGACCTGTGGTTTTATGGTTTCTAACAAATTTGGGAAAATGTCAGCCATCATTACTTAAAGTATTTTTGGCTCACACCTCCCTCCTATTCTTTTTGTGACTCCAATGACATGTACAGCTAAGATTGTCTCACAGGTCACTGAGGCCCTGTTCATTTCCTCCCCATAACTTTTTCTGACTGTTCTTCTTGTCTGTCAAAACTCAGCCTAAATATCGTAGCCTTTATTAAACCATTGTCCAGATACTGTCAGATTAAATGACTACCTCACCTTTGTACCCCATTATAGCCCATACATCTTATCACACAACCTGTACCATTTGAGTGCACTTTTTGCCTCTCTCCCTAAACCAAATTGTGAGCCACTTTAAGGCAGAACAGTGCGTGGCACACAATAAATTCTCATTAAAGCAGAAGTTCTGAAATGCTAAGTGCCTCATAAAATCTGCTTATTTTGCTTGTCTCAAAGAGGCAAAATATAATTGACTTGATTGCCATGCTTTTCTCAAAGTATGTAAATACATTGGCAAGCGAACTGATTTGAGTATCTAAAAATTACTTTGGCAATAGCTGTATTTTTGGACCTCATGTTCAGCATAGAAAGGGAATAAATTTAAGTCAAATTCTCATATAGAAGCATATATTTATGTTTGTATAAAATTATTATACTTTCACACTGTGAACACTTCATCAAAAACAGTAAAACAACAACAGCAACAAAACTGGCATTGAAACTGTGTTTTAAAGCAGTTTACCTGGCCTGCAAATTTACTACTAGGATCAGCTGAAATAAGGACAACATCTTTATCCTTTTGAAATCCATCGTGAGACCAGTATGCCAGGTCAAAAGTAAATGTCTCCACATGCTCTGGATTCTTAGGGTCCTGTATGGTGGTGGTCCTGGAATGCATGGAAATCACACATTTGCTCCCAGAATTCTTCCTCTCTACAGTCAAATTACAAATTCAGAGTCAATCATTCTAGTTTCTCTTTGTCATCCAAGTTCATTGTTTCACTAGTCTTTATACCTAGTAAGAAATTAAGTTCTCTGATTGTGTTACTTTTAGCAGCTGTAAGAACAAGCAGTTGTTCCTATACTCCCTCAAAATTCTTGAAAGGCTTGGCTCTAGTCATATTAACTTTCTGAGAAGAGCTGGCTCCCTAACACCTAACTATACTAATAACAATAACGATATTAGTGGAGAGACTGACTTCTGGCTTAATTGGTGAATTCCCCAGTAAAACAATATCCATTAAAAAATCAAAATTTAAAAACCACCTTTTAAAACCTCTAGAAATGGTCCTCAAGACAAACAGACAGTGAAGAAACATCTATTTATGGCCGGGTGCAGTAGTTCACACCTGTAATCCCAGCACTTTGGGAGGCTGAGAAGGGTGGATCACTTGAGGTCAGGAGTTTGAGACCAGTCTGGCTAACATGGTGAAACCCCATCTCTACTAAAAATACAAAAATTAGCTGGGTGTGGTGGTGCGCCTCTAATCCCAGGTACTCAGGAGGCTATGGCATAAGAATCACTTGGACTTGGGAAGTGAAGGCTATAGTGAGCTGAGATCGTACCTCTGCACTCCAGCCTGGCTGGCAGAGTAAGACTCTGTCTCAAAAGAAAAGAAAAGAAAAAACAAAGAAAAGAAAAGAGAAAAGAGAGAAAGAACCATGTATTCAAAAAAATATACTAAATTTGGTAAGAAATGAGTTTGTGGTATTTGAAGCAAGATCATTCCTTTTCTTCCCCCTGCCAGCTCAGCAGGGTGGAGACTCCACTCCGGACTGCTAGAGCCACTAACACTGGGCTCCCTCTCTGCTCCAGATCCCAGCTGGGTAACTTTCTTCCCAGGAAGATCAAGATAATAGCATTTCTAATTCTGCCTCTGTCTACCTGTTACTGATGAACTGGAGAAAGTGTGTGCACTCCAATGTGCAGGGACAATTTTGAGAAAGTGTATGCACTGTAATGTGCAGGGATGAACTGGAGAAAGTGTGTGCACACTAATGTGCAGGGATGTACTGGAGAAAGTGTGTGCACACTAATGTGCAGGGACAATTTGGAGAAAGTGTATGCACTGTAATGTGCAGGGATGAACTGGAGAAAGCGTGCGCACTCGAATATGCAGGGATGAACTGGAGAAAGTGTGTGCACTCTAATGTGCAGGGATGTACTGGAGAAAGTATGTGCACCCTAATGTGCAGGGATGAACTGGAGAAAGTATGTGCACCCTAATGTGCAGGGATGAACTGGAGAAAGTATGTGCACCCTAATGTGCAGGGATGAACTGGAGAAAGTATGTGCACTCTAATGTGCAGGGATGAACTGGAGAAAGTGTGTGCACTCGAATATGCGGGGGTGAACTGGAGAAAATGTGTGCACCCTAATGTGCAGGGACGAACTGGAGAAAGTATGTGCACTCTAATGCGCAGGTACCAATTGGAGAAGGTGTTCGAACTCTAATGTTCAGGGACAAACTGGAGAATGTGTGTGCACTCTAATGTGCAGGGATGAACTGAAGAGAGCGTGTGCACTCTAATGTTCAGGGATGAACTGCAGAAAGCATGTGCACTGTAATGTTCAGGGAAGAAGTGTAGAAAGTGTGTGTACAGGCCGGGCGCGGTGGCTCAAGCCTGTAATCCCAGCACTTTGGGAGGCCGAGGCGGGTGGATCACGAGGTTAAGAGATCGAGACCATCCTGGTCAACATGGTGAAACCCCGTCTCTACTAAAAATACAAAAAATTAGCTGGGCATGGTGGTGCGTGCCTGTAATCCCAGCTACTCAGGAGGCTGAGGCAGGAGAATTGCCTGAACCCAGGAGGCGGAGGTTGCGGTGAGCCGAGATCATGCCATTGCACTCCAGCCTGGGTAACAAGAGTGAAACTCCGTCTAAAAAAAAAAAAAAAAAAAAAAAGAAAGCGTGTGCACGCTAATGTTCAGGGATGAAGTGGAGAATAAGACAGTTTGAAGGCCAAAAATATCAAACACTTGTCTGTGAAAGTATTCCTTTAAAGGAAGCAGAATTTGATCGGATTCATTTGCAAAACACCTTATGCCCCAGGACATTGTTGAAAACAATAATCAGACAGCAAATAGTGAAGATTAACAGGTGGGCATGGTCAAGTACGGAGAGGAAGGGAGCCGGACCACAACCATTGCTCTCCCAGGGTGACTGGGGCAGACCCAGAACTCTGCTTTTCTAAGGAACAATGGTGGGATTGGGGGACATAACAGACTTCCCTAAAATAATCCAGCCAGTCACTAAAAAACCGGGAAATAAAAGTAGCAAGGCACAGAGGACAGGCAGAGCTAATAGCCAGAGTTGCTACAATATATCTACAACGTCCAATTTCTATGGAAAAATTAGGAGGCACACGAAGTAACTGGAAAGTATGATGCATACACTGGGGAGAAAAGAATAACAGAAACAGAGGGACCAGATGCAGGAATTATCAGGAAAACACTTTTGAAGTAGTCATTATACACATATTCACAGAATGAAAGAAAATTATGATTAAAGAAAGGATTATAAGGAATGCTTCCAACAAGTTAACACCAGCAAGTTAGATAACTTAGATGAACAAATTCCTGCAAAGGCAGAAGTGACAGAAATCGACTCAAGAAGAAAAAAGAATCTAAATTGATCTAGAACAAAGGAAGACCTAGAAGTAGAATTGCAAAGAACAGCTACCCACAGTGAAAAGTCCAGTCTGAGGTGGCTTAACTACCAAATTCTATTAAACGTTTCACAAACCTTCATACCAATTCTTCACAAACTGTTCAGAAGATGGAAGAGTGAATACTACTCAACTCACTTTATGAAATCAGTATCACTCTGATATTGAATCCAGACAAAGACATCATTAGAAAACAAAACTATGAACCATTATCTCTTATGAATATGAATGCAAAAATCCTCAACAAAATACTATGAAACTAAATCCAGCAGCATATACAAAGAATTGTACACCATGACCAAATGGAATTTATCCTAGGGCTTCAAGATTGATTCAACATGGAAATTATTGTATTAATCATATTTTTGATGGTTTGACCTCCTGCAGCTCACCAAGCCTGTCAGATTCCTAGAGATAGCAAGCAACTTGCCTTTCATGTGCAAATCAACCAATCCAAAGCCCATATCTCCAACTACCTCCTTCATCTAACTGTCGTCTAACTTCTATACACCAAGCCAGTACTTTCCCTCCTCTAAATCACCCCCAAGGCCAGGTACTGGACAAATAAAGGCCACCCTTACAGGTCACAGTCCACCAAAATAATTTATATTATCCAATCCTAAACTTGCTCAAATTTGCGTCCTCTGCCGTGCGCATTCCTTCCTGCAGAAACCACAACAAAGGCTCTAAGACATACTTTCTCCTGTACTTTGCCTGTTTCCCATGAGGCTCTGCATGGTGTGGTAGTTACATAGTTAATTTTTATGGGTACATACAAAATTTTATTTTTTTAAAAAAAAATTTAATTTTTGTACATACACAAAAATTAAAAATAAGGCCAGGCATGGTGGGTCACACCTGTAATCCCAGCACTTTGGGGAGCTGAGGTTGGGTAGATCACCTGAGGTCAGGAGTTTGAGACCAGCCTGGCCAACATGGTAAAAACCTGTCTCTATTAAAAATACAAAAAAAAAAAAAAAAAAAAAAAAGCCTGGTGTGGGTGTGGTAATGGACATTTGTAGTCCCAGCTACCCAGGAGGCTGAGGCAGAAGAATCACTTGAACCTGGGAGGCAGAAGTTGCAGTGAACAGAGATCATGCTACTGCACTCCAGCCTGGGCAACAAGAACAAAACACTGTCTCAAAAAATAATTAATTTTTAAAAATAAAGTAGGAATATATTTAATGAAAGAAGTACAAACCATACTCTGACAGCTATATGACTTTTTTGAAAGAAACTAAGAAATCAAAGATTGGAAAAACATCCTATGTTCATGGAGACCTAAGGTCATTTAGAAGGCAGTAGTCACCAAACTAATATACAGATCCAGTGCAATCCCTGTGAGAACCCCACCTGACTTCTTTGCAGAAAATGATGAGCTGGTTTTTCTTTTTTTTTTTTTTAAGACGGAGTTTTGCTCTTATTGCCCAGGCTGGGGTGCAATGATGCAATCCTTGCTCACTGAAACCTCCGCCTCCTGGGTTCAAGCGATTCTTCTGCCTCAGCCTCTTAAGTAGCTGGGATGATAGGCATGTGCCACCATGTCCAGCTAATTTTTGTATTTGTAGTAGAGATGGGGTTTTACCATGTTGGTCAGGCTGCTCTCGAACTCCTGACCTCAGGTGATCCACCCATCTTGGCCTCCCAAAGTGAAGGGATTACAGGCATGAACCAACACGCCCAGCCATGATAAGCTGATTCTGAAATTCATATGGATTGCAAGGGATCCACGGTAGCTAAAACAATCTTGAAAATGAAGAAAAATGTAGAATGCACTCTTCCTGACTTGACAACTTCATACAAACCAACAGTAATGAAGGCAGTGTGGTACTAACTAGGACAGACATACAAATTAATAGAACTGAGTCCAAAAAATAAACCCTGGCATTCATGGTCAGTTGATTTCCAACAAGGCTGCTCGAACCATCCAATGGGGAAAAGAATAATAGCCTTTTAAGAAACGATACTGGGAGAACTGGATAGCTGTGTGAGAAAGAATGAACGTGGCTGGATGCAGTGGCTCATGCCTGTAACCCCAATTCAGGAGGATCGCTTCAGGCCAGGAGTTTGAGACCAGCCTGGCAACACAGTGAGATCCTGTCTCTATTTAAAAAAAATGAAAGAAAAAATTAAATTAGTTGGGCTTAGTGGCACATACCTATAGTCCTAGCTATTTTGTAGGCTGAGGTAGGGGGAGTGCCTGAGCTTGGGAGTTTGAGGTTACAGTGAAGTATGATCATACCACTGCACTCCAGCCTGGGTGACTGAGTAAGACCCTGTCTCTTAAAAAAAAAAAATTAACTTGAACTCTTACTATATACAAGATTATTTTGAATCAAAAGCCTAAAGGTAAGAGCTAAAACTATAAAACACTTAGAAGAAAACAGGAGGAAATCATGACAATTTGGACAAAGGATTCTTAGTTATAACACCTGAAACAAAGCAATGAAATTGCCAAAATTTAAAATGTTTCTGCTTCAAAGAACATTGAGAATGTGAAAAATACAATCCACAGAATGGGAGGAAAATTTGCAAATTATGTATCTGATAAGGAATCATATTTGTAACCTATAAAGATCAGCTTATAATAGACAATCCAGTTTACAAAATGATTAAAGAGCCAGGTGCGGTGGCTTATGTCTGTAATCCCAGCATTTTGGGAGGCCAAGGCAGGCAGATCACCTGAGGTTGGGAGTTCGAGACCAGCCTGACCAACATGGAGAAACCCCGTCTCTATTAAAAATACAAAAATTAGCCGGGCATGGTGGTGCATTCCTGTAATCCCAGCTACTCGGGAGGCTGAGGCAGAAGAATCGCTTGAACCTGGGAGGTGGAGGTTGCTGTGAGCTGAGATTGCGCCCTTGTACTCCAGCCTGAGCAACAAGAACAAAACTTCGTCTCAACAGCAGCAACCACCACCGCCACAAGAAAAAAGAGCAAAGAATCTGAATTGATACTTCTCTAGGAAGATATGCAAATAAATACACATAAAAAGATGCTTGGTATCATTAGTCACTAGATAAATGCGAATCATAGTCACAGATGCCACTCACATCAACGAGGATGACTATAATGAGGAAGTCAGATAATAGTTGTTGGCAAGGATGTGAACAATTTGTAACCTGTATATACCGCTGTTGGGAATACATGTTGGTATAGCTGCTTTGGAAGACAATCTGGCAATATCTCCAATGATTAAACAGTTCCCTATGGCTCAGCAATGCCACGGTTAGGCATGTAACCAAGAGAAATGGAAATATGCCCACACAAAAACTTCTACACAAATGTGTGTAGCAGTCATTAATAACAGGCAAAAGGCAGAACCCACTGAAATGTCCATCCGCTGATGAACAAAACTTTGTGTATCCACACAATGGAATACTGAATATTCAGCAGCCATTGAGAATGACATTTTGACATATGCTACAACACGGACGGACCTTGAAAACCTGCTGTGTGAAAGAAGTGTCACAAAAGACTATGTATTATTCCATTCATAGGAAATGTCCAGAAAGGGAAATCTGCGGGAGCACATTAGTGGTTGCTTAGGGATGGGAAATAGGATAACTAAAAGGTATAGAAATTCTTTTCCGAGGTGATGAAATGTTCTGAAATTGACTGTGGTGATTGTCGCACATATCTGAACATATTTAAAACCACGTAATCGTATACTTTGAATTGTATTACCTCAGAGTTCTTTAAAAGAGACTGTGGTAGAAAACATGCAGCTAAAATAGTTGTCAGGCACTGTGCTCAACAACATACATTTCCTCTGTTCCTTCCAACAGCAATCTTGTCGAGTGGCAATAGCCCATTTTACAGATAAACTGAGGCCCAGAGAACATACTGCCTGAGAATATGTTGCTTATTTTATTTTTTTGAGACAGTCTCACTCTGCTGCCCAGGCTGGAGTGCAGTGGTGTGATTTTGGCTCCCTGCAGCCTCCGCCTCGGGGGTTCAAGCAATTCTCGTGTTTCAGCCTCCCAAGTAGTTGGGGTTACAAGCATGCGTGACTACACTGGCTCGTTTTTGTAGTTTTAGTAGAGACGGGATTTCACCACATTGGCCAGGCTGGTCTTGAATTCGGCCTCCCAAAGTGCTGGGATTACAGGTATGAGCCACTGTGCCCAGCAATATATTGCTTCTTATAACAAAGATGTCCTAAAGCAAGTTCTCTGATCCCACAATGAACTTAAGGACTAGACAGGGAGTCAGGAAGTTACACAGTGTCCAGGTCATCTAGGGCCTGTCAAGTTCTATTTTCAATTAATGGAAGGTTTTGAGCAGAAAGTTCCATGATACTCATTTTTTTCTTGTTGCTAGGTATAGAATGGACTGGGCAACAAGTTCACGTAGGAGGTATTGCAGTTGTCTGGGTAGGATGATCTGTGACTGTCTACAGTAGTGCCCCCTTGTCTGCAGTTTCACTTTCTGTGGTTTGCAACCAGCAGTCAACCAGAATCTGAAAATATGAAATGGAGAATTCCAGAAATAAACAACTTGTATGTTTTAAACTGTGCCACCCACCTGAGCAGTGTGTGAAAACCTCACACCATCCCATTGTCCTGCCTGGACCTCTATCCTTGTCCAGCACATCCGTGCACAGCGGCTTAGTAGCCATCTTGGTTGTCAGATGAACATGGTGGCACTCGAGTGCTTGAGCCTTTGTTATTTAATCATGGCCCCAAAGCACAGGAGTTCTGTGACTAACTTATAACCTACCATAGGTATGCATGTAGAGGAAAAAATGTAGCGGATATAGGGCTAGGTACTCCCTGTGGTTTCAGGAATCCACTGGTGGTCTTAGAACACAGCCCCTCTGGATATAGAGCATGCACCGGACCTTCAAGTTACCTCCTGAATCTGTCCTCTTTCCTCTTTGCGACTAGTCAAAGCTAGTCAACTTCGGTGGTGGACCTGAATACAATGCCATCTTCTCGAAAAGGGAACTGAAGGTTGTGTTAAGTACATGACCACTTCTTCAGTGCCTAATCCTACAAATCCTCATTTGCTGTTTACAACTTGCAGTTACTCATCCTGACAATATTAGAGGTCAGTGAAAATGACTGCAGGAATCGCCATCTTCCGTGTTGCTGAAGGTCTGGTTGGGCCAAAGCCTTTAACATACTGGTCACAAATTCATTGTTGGGCATTTATTTGATCAGTTAGAATCAAATGATTCTTTGATCATTAAGAAGCCATGCTATTTTAGAAGGCTTAAATAGTGGCTACACTTAAAAGTTAGTTAGTTATACATATAACTAAAGTTACATGATTATACAGCTGTGCCCATTGTTGAAATATTCCCAATACAGATGAATATAGAGAGGCACAGGACAGAAGTGATACCAAGCGAAGAGGGACAAAGTAACACTGATAATGGTAAAAGCAGCAAGTTGGAGAAGTGTGGGGGAGACCTCCTGTGAGGTCATTAGATCGTAGCCCACTCAGGACCAGTTACTATCAAATGGGCCTCCGCATGTTGTTCTGTCGAGCAAATCTTCACCAATATTTTACAAAGCCTTTATTCCTCTCAAACACTTCTATCTAGGAAGCCTTCAAGATCTGTCCAGGCAGAATTACCTACACCTGACCTGAGTCACCTCACCACCAAGACTAAGTATCTTTTTGGGTATATTGTTTACCTTACTATGATACTAAGTACCTTGTTTAACCAGTGCATTGATAATCACAGATACATGGTTGCTACCAGGTCCAAGAATGACTATCATTCACCTGCTATCCTAAAATGTTGTAGCAACACATTTTAAGGAGCAGTGTTTTTATTCAAGCTATATAAAGACATTTATACATAAGTACATACATTCATTTAAATATATAAAGTTCATTTAGAACAGGCAATTTTTTTGCTTATGATGTACATTCACAGAGGGGAAAAAAGTACATCCATTAAAAACAGGTACCACACAACTATATTCACCAAATTGCATTGGTTTAAAAAACTATTACTTGACATACATTTCGCCCATTTTTTCATTGTGCTACTTGCACAAAAGGAATGAAATTATTTACTGAATTGTTTAGATCTTTATTCATTTAACAAGTTCATTTAAGTAAGTTCAATATTCCATAAATGACAAGCAGCTTAAATACAGGTTTGATAACTGTCACTAAAGAAGTAATAAAGTCAGTAAATTTCTCGACGAGGCAGTGTAACACCCACCACTAGCCTGACTAAAAGGCCGCACTCGCACGGCGACTTTCACACTGTCAGTACTTGGCGTAGGCATTTTCATCCATTTCTCATTATCCATATTGTGATTTGGTAGAAAATAATGCAGAAAGCACACTGCTTATGCTTCACATTAAAACATTAAAAGCTTAGCCAACAAAAGCAGTTCATTTCTAGATGATCAATTATTAATAGACCGTTCATTACACACTATCAATTACCTGTTACAAATTATCTTACCACACTTATTTATTGATGAATTTTAGAGCCTACATCGAGTGTCATTACTTAACTGCACAGGTGTACTGCAGAGAACAGGGTGTTTGTTTTTTGCTTTTCCTTTTCTGCATCTACTCACACTCTCCCCAACCTCAATAATCTGTGCCTGAGGTCGCTAAGAATTTGCCCGTTCTAAAACCTGAATATTAAGGGATTTCTGTGGTTCAGTAACAAGCTCCTTCACAGCAATATTATAAAAATTTGTTCAGACGTTTCATCCTATCAATATTAGGCACACACAAGATGCACTGAATATCCATAGATTTATTTTACATTTTCCTTTGTCAAATCCTTTGATAAGGTGCAAGTGAGCAGTGAACCGGTCAATCTAACCTGGATTAGTCTTTGAATAATTAAGACTTTAAAGATAAAGAGCCTTTAAGCTTGCTGAAATAAGATGCCACCGGTATAGGTAACCAATGCATTACTTGGATTATCCATTTGAGGTAGGTTACGCAAAATTTGTGAAACTTTGATGGCAAAATTACATGCCCATAGTTCAATTTTAACACAGTAACAGCCCAAAACAATAAAATACATTTTATGATTAGAAATCTTAATCACAGAATCAAAGTGCATAAATTATAAAATAGTAACTGTAAAAAGAAGTTTCAATAGTTCGATCATCCCCATTTTAAGACTGGTCTAATATTTTAATTACAGAGAAAATGAGACCAATGAGCATATAAAATTATTGAAACAGATGCCCCTCCCTTTCAAAAATCTAATAAGACACAAACTACTGTGAAGTATATACTTTATTTAACATTCCAATAATCCATATTTACATACTATATAAATGTATGAAGTCTTAATATAAAATAGAAAAATTGCCTGTACTAAAACAATCACTCCATATGGAGTTACTTTACTTATTGAAGACCTTATGTTTACATAAAAATTTACAATAATTTATATAAATTATTTTCTTCCAAACTAGATATTTAGTAATCCACAATATCCTGATGACTTTACAAATAGGTGTACATTAAAAACTTGCCAAGAAATTACAGCATTTTTCTGCGTAAAATCTGCTTTGGAAAGGAAGACAGTTTCTTTCTGTTCCTCCCAAGACCTTTCCCCGTCACTTCCGCAGCTTTTCTTGGTTTGCTTTTGACCCCATCGACTGGGCTTGCCAAGGGAGAAATCAGCTTAATTTCTACGGGAGGAGGTGACCAAGCACTTTCTTTTTCTGTGTTTCTGAAAAAAAAAAAAGATATGATCAAGTAAGAATAAACACACGATCTTATAAAACTGGCTTCCCAACATGTTGAAAGAAACCTTAGGGGCTGCTTAGTGCTTTCATTTTATTAAACATGTAATGGTTTCAAGAAACCACTGAAGTGAAGCTTAAAGCTTCACTTATAAGCTAATGAGAAGCAGAGTTACAGTTTCATTAAGTGGAATTTTTCTTTCTTTTTGGATTAGAATATTTACAAACAATTCAATTATTGAATTTTCCCCTAAATGTTTCAAACGTATTAAAAAATGCTGCTGGATTACAAGGATGGGCCAAGGACTAGTAGCCAGCCCAGGGGATGAGAGCCCAGCAAGGCCCATGTGGCATATCGGAAATGTCAATTATCAAACACCAGCAATTAGCAAATATGTATAGAATTTCACAAACATGAGTTTCTCAAATATATATAATACCAATTTATATGTAAACAGTGATATCAGTCAATAGTGTATTAAATCCATTTTTAGATAAAATGCATCAACTTGTGCTTTTATTAAATTCAACCATGCCTAACTAAGCACAGCATGAACAAGATACTGTGTAACAAATCTAATTTTCCCATGGATACAGTTTTATTGCTTTTTGTAAAATAACTGCAGAATTTAAAAGTACATAGTTATTTTTTACTAACAGTTACCTAACTTTACTGACAAAGAGGTAAACCGTCCCATTTCCCTCCCCCACTTGCTGCTTTTCTGAAAAAACCAGAAGGATCCCCTGGGAACTAAACTGCTCCCATCCTACCATCCTCCTCTTAAAAGGATCAGGCTTTCATGCTTTTAATATGTAGAGAAATCTACCTTCAGCAGTAAAATCCAACAATGCCAGGGAGCCAGTGCTTGTAAATGCCCCTGAAAATTAATCTTTTCTGATGAGCTTATCCTTTTTAAAATTAAGTCTTCTCAAATCTAATTTTGAGGAAAAAATGGATAAAAATTACAGAACAAGGCTGGGCGTGATGGCTCACTCCTGTGATCCCAGCACAGGAGGATCACCTGAGGCCAGGAGTTCAAGACCAGCCTGGCCAACATGACAAAAACCTCGTCTCTACTAAAAATACAAAAATTAGCCAGGTGTGGTGATAGACGCCTGTAGTCCCAGCTACTCAGGAGGTGGAGGCATGAGAATTGTCTGAACCTGGGAGGCAAGAGGCTGCAGTGAGCCGAGATGGATCACACCACTGCACTGCAGCCCGGATGACATAGTGAACTCTGTCTCAATCTATCAATGACAACAGAAAGTCATACTTGCTTGCTTGTTTTGTTTTTGAAGTCTTGATTCGTCTGGCTTTTGGCTTTCCCACAGTTTCTACTGATTGTGCATCATCTTCCTATGGGTTAAAAATTTTAAAAAGTTAAGTATTTAAACATGAATCTAATTTTAAAACTTCTATCCTGAGACAAGGAATACCATAGCCCAAACACTGCTGATGAATTCAAACTCACCAAGTCCAATCCTTTCCTCACACTTTTTAGTAAAAAACCTTAGTTATATAGGACTGTTCTTTATTCCTCGTTCCCACAATTCAACTCATCTCCAAGTTACCAGTTTTATTTTTGAATGTTTCCATTGTCCTCTGCCCTTCTGTACCCATTCCCTTGTCCATATCTAGGCTCTCGCTTTGTAAGAAGCAGCCAACCAGAGACTATTCTTTCCTACCCACATTTCATCTTTCATAGAAACTGTGTATAATACACACATGGCTATTTGTTGTTCATGAACACTCCTCATCTGCCTGCCATTGCCATGCTCTGAGTCTTTGCATCTGCTGTTTACTCTGCCAGGCGGAATGCCTGTTTTCTCTAACCTCTGTCTACAGAGTTTTTGGGTATAAATGATTCTTATCATGCCATGAAATAATTATTTTTGTCTCTTCAATGAAACTGTGTATCTCAATTGAACTGTAGGTGCCTGAAAGATGAGGAGGTTTGCCTGAGTTTTGTGTAACTTGGCCTTGCAGATTAAGGGACTGATGGCAGATAATTCAGTAAATACTTATGAATTAACATTTATAAACATAAGGGACTCACACTCAATCCTTCAACTATTTCTTAAAAAAACACCACCAGGTAATTCTGATGGGCACTAGAATTTAAAAACTTTTCCACTAACAGGTAATTTAAACTAGCTGCTAGTAAAATATCATCAGTAACACACCACAGATCTGTCTTAAAGGCAGGGTCTCCGAAGGGGTAGAAAAGACCATTTTGGGCTTTCAGTATACACGACTGCTTAAGACATTTACTTAACAAAATTTAAAATCTTTAAAATTTAAATTAAAATTTTATTGAAACGTATTTTTTTTTAAAAAAGTATGTTTTAACAAACACACAAATAAATGGATGTGATTCTTACCAGTTCATCTTCAAGCTTTTTCTTACTGGAAGTGTTTTTTTGTCTGCTCCTTAAAGCAGGAGGTGAGATAACAAAAGGAGAAGATAAATCCGAAACTAATTCTTTTAGCTGTGCAGGAACCTCTATTTTTTTAGCTAAAAAAAAGTTGAAAAATCTGTTATTTGTATCTTTATATCTATATATATCTATATATCTGTGTGTGCATATTATATATATTAAAAAACACAATAAAAACTGGAACAAATGATGTGCTTTAGAAAGATACAAACACCCCCAAACCTGGAAATCATTAGTACTGTAACCTACCTTTCCATGTTAGGAGAGAAATGACAGGAAAAATTCCACCATCATTTGGGTAAGCCATATGTTTAGGACTATCTAATGCTTCTAACTAGAAAGTGCTACAATATAAACACAGGCCATGAAAGCAGGTACTCAACTGTTTTAGTCTTTTCCTTTTAATCCTCCTGCTCCTCAAGCTTTCTGGGCAGGGAAAGCATTAATCCTAAATATAACCTGAGCTTGTCTGTGCCATAACTACTGCTTTTCCAGAGACAATGTTAGTTACAAAGTAGATTTTTTATTTTCAAAGAAGTGAAATTTTCTAGCCAGCTCATTCTGAACTACTTGTTCCAGTCAAAGGGAACAGAAAAATTTATGTACACAAAAGGTGAAAGTGCCAGGCACAGTGGCTCACAACTGTAATCCCAGCACTTTGAGAAGCTGAGGCAGGGGGACAGCTTGAGGCCACAAGTTTAAGGCTAGCCTGATAGATAAAGTGAGACCCCTGTCTCTACAAAAAATGTAAAAAACAATTAGTCGATGTGGTAGTGTACACCTGTGGTCCCAGCTACTTGGGTGGGTGAGGCAGGACGACTGCCTGAGCCTGGGAAGTTGAGGCTGCAGTTAGCCATGACTGTGCCACTGCACTGCACCCTGGGTAAGAGCATAAAAGGCTAGCAGGAAGATATTCCATAGATAAACAACAACTGGTTTAAAATACGGAATTCAAAACATTTACCACATACTTTTTTCTTTTTTAAACCATAGGGCACCTAGTTTAAAAGGAATGATCAGTACAATTACAGAGGACCACAGGGTGGTTTAACCAGTCTGCCAGGGTAAATCCCAGCTTCTGGACTTTCTGTGAGACCAGAATCAAGTAACTTAAAGCTCTCTGTGCATCAGTTTCTATAAAGTAGGGTTGATAATAGCATCTATCTCAAAGTTGTTCTGAGGATTCAAGAACCAGAACAGTGTGTGGCATGGCAGGTGGTAAATGCTTTACAGATGTTTGCATTTGTTATTTCAAAAATATAATTTACAAACCCTTGAAATCAAATTATAGTTCAATGTTATTTCAGCTACTGGGGCAGTCAAGAGTTCTATCAGGTATCAAATTCTGCTTTTAAGGCACAGGATTCTTCAAAACAATTTTTTTGTGGGTACATAGTAGGTATATATCTTTATTAGCATATGATTTTTTTTTTTTTTTTTTTTTTTTTGGAGACAGAGTTTTACTCTTATTGTCCAGACTGGGGTACAATAGTGTGATCTGGGCTCACTGCAACCTCCATCTCCCAGGTTCACCCAATTCTCCTGCCTGAGCCTCCCAAGTAACTGGGACTACAGGCACGTGCCACCACGCCCAGCTAATTTTTGTATTTTAGTAAAGATGGGTTTCACCATGTTGGCCAGGATGGTCTCGATCTCCTGACCCTATGATCCACCTGCCTCAACCTCCCAAAGTGTTAAGATTACAGGCATGAGCCATCGCGTCCAGCCAAGCATATGATTATTAAAAAAAGAAAAAAATTAGAAGTGATACCAGAAATAAGTCATCTCTGCTCCCAGCTTGTAAATGGCAGGAATGGCTAGGTCTACTGGTGGTCCCGCTTTTGGCTTCAAAGAACAGATGAACAAAAACATTCCTACAAACATTATATATTCTATAACTCTCTTCTAGGCTATCTGGAAAACAACTACTTTTCATAAGCGTCACCTAAGTTTTCCTACTCCATTTTGAAGGAATAAATAAGGAAATACAAAAATATACTATCACTTGTGAAAATGTTTAGCCTCCACCATTCTCCCCATATGCTTCTATTATAGCACAGATGAGTCTTTCTTGTGTGTATGTAAATTCCTTACCCATCTCTGTTTTGAGTGCTACTTAAGGACTAAGGAGTTCAGAACCCAGGTTCAAACCCAACTGTGGGCTAGTAAATGATTCTGAAAAGTCAGAGAGAGCTCCGATTTACAGCATTTGCTGATTTCTAAGGTATAAATGTGCCTACTGTGGCCAGTGCAAACCATGGCTGGGTTCTAAGTTCTTTAATATTTAACAAGTGCCTCTTACCAGCCAGCAGTAGCAGCTCCAGGACAACACTTATTACCTGGGTGATGTGAGTGCTCAATGTCACTGAACTTCAGTTTCCTCAATGTAGACAGAAGCAAGTAAAAGTGCCTACACTTGACTGGGTTGCAGTGGGAATCAAATGATATATGAATGTCATGTATTTAGTGTGGCCTCAGGCATACAGCAGGCCCTTCTTAAGAAGTATGTGCTGTATGAAATGTGAAGCTTCATATACATTCAGCTAGTAAAACACAAAATTCTAAGATAATTTCTTTGCTATGTTTCAATAAAATAAAGGACCACCTCTAGCCTTTCAATCACACAGTATTTCTGTACACAGTCTTCTCTGCACCTCCACCCCTATGTAAAAACGAAGTTTAAAATATAGGCCTTCTCTTCCCAGTTCTTCCCGGAAGTTGGGAAAAGGTAGGTTTAGAGGGTGAAAAATAAATAATAAAATAAAATAAAATATAAACAGGTACAAGGGACAGAAAGTATGGTTAACAGTATAAAGGGCAGAGGAAGAGACAGGAAGCTACATGCTAGAGTGGCAATTGCTTGTTAAAGTAGTGAATACTAACAAGAACCCCATGTAAGTTATGCATTACCCACCACCTTCATTCTAAGGATGAGGAAACAAGGCTCAGGAAGGTTAAACGATTTTCTGCCCAGCGAATAAGTGGCAGAAATGAGAGATCCCAATCTTATCCCCTCCAATCCCATCATCGCATTCTAAAAGCTGCCTCTTTTTAATATTAAAATATCTGAAAGCAATTCAAATACCCAACAAAATAAACTTTAAACTATTTGTGGCACATTTTGAGATGAAATGCCAATATAAAAATATATATATTACGTTTCAGATTTTGATTTTTTTTTTTTTTTTTTTTGTGACAGGGTCTCATTCCATCACACAGGCTGCAGCGCAGTGGCGTGATGGCTCATTGCAGCCTCAATCTCCCGGGCTCAAGCCATCCTCACATCTCAGCCTCCCAAGTAGCTAGGACTATAGGTGCCAGCCACCATGCCCACATCATTGAAAAAAAATTTTTTTGTAGAGATGGGGGTCCCACTAAGTTGCCCAATCTGGTTGGATTGTGAAGAACATTTAAGAGTAACTGAAGGCCGGGTGCAGTGGCTCACGCCTGTAATCCCAGCATTTGGGAGGCCAAGGAGGGCGGATCATCTGAGGTTAGGAGTTTGAGACCAGCCTGGCCAACATGGTGAAACCGCATCTCTACTAAAAATACAAAAAAAATTAGCTGGGCATGGTGGTAATCCCAGCTACTGGTGAGGCTGAGGCAGGAGAACTGCTCAAACCTAGGAGATGGAGGTTGCAGTGAGCCAAGACTGCAGCATTGCACTCCAGCCTGGGCGACAAGAGCAAGACTCTGTCTCTAAATAAATAAATAAGAAAGAGTAACTGAAAATGCTCATGAAATACGTAGGGGGGAAAAAAGCAGAATATATGCATATACATAAACTGCAGGCTTTTAAAAACCAACCATACATATGTATCTGGAAGGAAAATGTGAAGAGTGATTCTTTTGATAGCTAGATTATATACTTCTATTTTCTAGTTTTCAGTAAGTAGGCATGTATTGTTTTTGTCTTTATTTTTATTTTGAAACAGGGTCTTGTTCTGTTGCCCAGGCTAGAGTGCAGTGGCACACAATCATGGCTCACTGCAGCCTCAAACGCTCAGGCTCAAGTGATCCTCCTGCCTCAGCCTCCCAAGTAGGTAGGACCACTGGCTAATTTTTGTAGAGATATATATATATTTTTGCCATACTGCTGCACGTATTTTTAGTTTAACAGAAAAAAGTTAAAATTAGTAGGTATAGAAATGAAAAATATGTAAAGATGACAAAAATCAGTCACTGAGATGTTTGCTATGCTCTAACAAAACCACCCTCACTTGTGATGTTTACTACACTTCTCCAGTCCTGATGAGTGTATAAGTTATGTTAGTAACTTCCCACCCTCCCAGCCAATGTTTCTCATTTTAACTTTTTAATATTACCTTAATAAAATCAACTTTAAGATATTCTGTCATTTCATTCTCCTCCATGCAAAGCATAGGTATAACCACACTTTTCTCACACTATGAAGAAATTAATCTGTACTACCAAAATCGAAGATGTAATCAAAAATTCTTTTTTTTTTTTTTGAGGAAGGGAGAGGAGGATCCCCTATAGCTACACATCATTTTTATGACAAATGATCAGTTGTTACTAGGAGAGTCATTTTCCTGGGCTCAAGCTATAACAGTGTAACAAATAAGTCATCTACTTTATTTACAAAGCCCTGAACTGCTTTGCTGAAATTCAAATATTAAACTGTAACTTAAACAATCAACTACATGGCAATGCGGTGCCATGGCTCATGCCTATAATCCCAGCACTTTGGGTGGCCAGGGCAGGCAGATCACTTGAGGTCAGGAGTTCAAGATAAGCCTAGCCAACATAGTGAAAAGCCATCTCTACAAATTAAAAAAAATCAGCTGTAATCCCAGCTACTACGGAGGCTGAGGTAGGAGAATTGCTTGAACCTGGGAGGCAGAGGTTGCAGTGAGCTGAGATCGTGCCACTGCACTCTAGCCTGGGAGACAGAGCAAGACTCCACCTCAAAACAAACAAACAAACAAACCCTACATTTTGTTTACCTAAACATAAACAATTTTACAGAGAGTTACTCTAATGGGATCTATTCAGCCACACCAGTATCTTTTTAGACATCTTTAAAGCACCCTCTATTGAAATTTTACTACTGTAGATATATTGTATATCTGTTTGTGTACTTAATGTATATATGTGCTCCCTTTGGGGAGAGGTCACCCCTGCTGAGAAGGTCTGACCTACAACACCAACCAAATACAGTCCTTAGCTCACCAGTGACAACAAAGGATGGTCTCATTGAAGATGAAGGCATACAGATGTGCCAGTTTATGGGCAATAGTGAATATGGATTGAAATTATTTCTGTACCGTAACAAAAAGTTACTGGTGTTTCCCTTCAAAACAATTTGGGGTTGTGGGTATCACTGGGGCATGAGTCAAATGCAGCGGTACTTAGGAGATTAAAAATGCTCACTCTATTTTGGGAGAAACTAAAATTAAAAGTCACATTATTTATAAAAGTCAAGAAGAGAAATTATGCTATTCTAAAAAATAAATCTATGTTAACCATACTGAAGAACTGAATCTCAAACTTGGAAACATGAAAACTGTAAACTTTACTACTAAAAGATCAATTTTGGTTTGAGAGGGGAGGGGGAGAAAATCCTCTATAGGTACAAATCATTTTTAGGACAGATAATTAACCAAGTTTTAAGCTAAAGACTCAATGAGATAAAAACTCTGTTTTGCAGACAAAGAAAAGTACCTTTTGCTTTCCTTGGAACTTCTGACACTGGAGAAAATAAAGGCTCACTTTTTGGTTCAGGCAACAAGATGGCCTTGCTGGCTCTAGTCCTGGTGCTGCGGGAGGATTTGGTAGAGGCAGCTGTGGCAAGCAATCTTTCTTCTCGGTCCTCTGTTTCTTTGTGTGTCATTTCATCGATGCGTTCTTCTGATACTGAGTGTAATGAACGCTTTTGGCTTTGATTTTCAGTCCTTTTTGTAAGCTTCTTCTTAGAGCTCATCACCATTGAAAGTTCCTCATTTGGCACTAAAATGGATTTTCCTAAAGCTGGTTTTCCAATATCAGTATTTTCATTTTTAGCTGGGGTATTTCTTGTAGATCGCCTTTTAATGCCGGGAGCTTCTCTCTTCTTGGGACTTCTCTCTTCCTTTACAGCCTTAGCTCCTACATCTTCAGATGGATTTATTTTTCTTTGTCTACCACGTTTCCTAGGTATGGCAGACATATCAAATTCTGCTTGCAGAGTCAACTGAGATGAGTCAAGGCTGGAGTCTTCTCTCACATCTGATGGTTTAACCTCTCTCCTTCTGACCCTTCTAACACAATGAATAGGCAGCTGCTCACCACTGGATTTCTCATCTTGCTTATTTCCTGTATTTTCAGAAGCATCTAAATTAGCACTTCTCAATTTTCTGATAGTTCTGCTAGGAGTTGCTACTTTACTAACTTTCAGATCATTTATAATTTCAACACTTTCCTCATTTTCTAAAGATCTTTTAATTCTTCTAGGAGTCCTTTTTGTAATCGATGAAAGCTTAACTTCTTTTTTAAACATTTCCTCAACTGCTGGTTCCAAGAGCTGAGATGGTTTTAATATTTTTGATTCCCTACCTGTAGCAATCTGTAATTCTTGTTCCACAGAACTGGTATTTTCTAGTATGTCTTGATTAACTTCTTTCTTTCTCCTTCCTCTCCTCGGAGTAACAGAATGTTGAGGTATTTGCTGGTTCTGAGATATTTCTTTAACATCAGAATAGGTGTTTTCAGAAGCTTCAGAAATTTCTTCTGCCTTCCTAGTTTTCTTCCTAACTGACTGCCCTGACCTCTTAGGAGGAGCAACGCCTGCTGATGCTTCCTGTTGTGCTGACTGGATATTTGTGTTTCGGATCCGCTGTCCTCTCGTTCGAGTTTTGGAGGAAACCATGTCATCAACCTGGCTGACATTTATAGTCATTGTGCTTGTTTCCTGAGCAGTCTTAAATGCAGATTTGATGACCTTAGTGGGACACATTACCTTCTGGCTTACTAAAGGTATCGTTTCATGACTGGACTGCTCCACCGTATCTGAAGTCATTTCTTTACTTCTTGTGTCTTTAATTACATCTAGTAAATTTTCTGCAATTGCTACTTTAATTGGTTCAGGCACATATGGTAAAGTCTCTACTTTTTGGGTCTTTTGGTCACTAGTCATGACAGATGGCAAATCTGCAACTTGTCCATGATTATCATTTTCCCCACTGTATACAGGTTTTTCCTCAGGTGTGGTGTTAGCTGCTTTAGGTAACACAACGGGTGATGCAAAATCACCTGGCTCAACTTCTCCTTCTTCACCTTCCAATATCAAGGTAAAGTTGCTCTGAGCCACAAAAAGTTCCCCATCTACTTCGGCAATGTCACACTCAGCAGTGTCTTTATTATCAGCTAAGTCACAAAACTGCTGGTCAATAGTATCAAAATTATAATGAAGCTTAAGTGTTCCAGAGGGATATAACTCATTAAATGAAAGATTCCTAGCCTCTTCTCCTGAATCTTGAGCTTCAAGCTTTTCTTGTTCAATCACCTAAATGAATTAAAGATAAGAGACTGGATAAATAATTTAAATATATATTTTAACCTGAAGCACACAGGTTTTTGATGACCCTTGGCTGTGTGCCTTTTAAAACATAAATTATATTTAATATGGCATATATGCTTATGGGTTTACTTTACAAAACATCCCTTTAAGCAACCAGTTTCTCATTTAGCCAAAATAACTAGATAGAAAGATTTTGAAATTATGACTGAAATTTAAGTAGATTCCACATTTCCCTGGCTAAAAAGACAGTCAACAAAACCTTGAAAATTATGATGCTAACAGTTCTGAGAACATTTATGGACTTATTCTACTCTCACCCAAGAAAAAAAATTAACCAGAGAAAAAGCAACAACCCCCAAACTGTGTTTTAATGATATTCCCCAAATTACCTAACTATCCACACTTTTCTAAAACAGCACGATCCCCATAAGGTTGAAGAACAATTCACATACATAAGCTCCCTTGGGCTAGACTCAATCCTCTTCCCTTTGCTGGGGCTGCATAAACCATGAAATTCCTAAGGCTTTCAAGTTCAGTACCTCTCCTGCAAGGGTTTGGTGGAAGAAGGAATGGTCCTTGCATTTACCTTTTGGTAAGGGAAGGGGAGAAAAAGGAGGAGGTAGAAAGTAACAGAGAGATCTCCTGACCAAGAAGGTAGAACATTACCACCCACCTAGACAATGACATTTTCCCACTCCCCAAACAATCAGTGAGATGACAGGCTAGAAATAACCTAGAAATCAGAATTCCCACTTACACCATACCCACAATTTTTCTTAGCCTCCCAACTAAAGGAATTGGAACTTTACTCATCTACTTGGCAGTTGGAATACTCATTAGGATGACTATGGATAACTGTGACATTTTTATGAGTTAAGAAACTTCCCAAATTCTAAACTATCAAATTTCTTTAAATAATTAGAAATTATTCTATAAATAATTTCTATAAATAATTTTTTTAATCTTAAAATTTATTACATAAAAGTTGCCTGCTGATAATAAAAGATTTGGTATAACAGAATTTTTTTAAAACTCTTAAGTCACATTAAGTAGCAAAAAATCCTTTCCAGAGTGTACAGATGTTCAACAGCAGCCAGCTGACTATCATTCTCCCAAAAAGGATGCATGAGGGGGAAATCCTGTTTAACTGTATCCATGTATTTACATGGTCTTATGACTAATAAACCAGATTAGCAAAAATTCAGTTGGTGAAAGTATGGCTTCTTTAACACATCCTTTTGGCTTTCATAAAAACCAATTTTTTTTTTTTTTTTTTTTTTTTTTTTTGAGACAGGATTTTGCTATGTTGCCCAGGCTGGTCTCAAACTCTTGGGCTCAAAGGTCCTCCCTTCTCAAACTCCTGAGTAGCTGGGACTACAAGCACCTGCCACAGCACCCACCTTGAAGGCCAATTTCTTAAAGGATGTGTTTTTATATTCCACAAAATATTTATACACTTATTTTTTGAACCCAGATTTTTATAAAGAAGTTTTTATATAGCAGGCAAACAAATGAGCGTGTTAGGTTTGAACCACTGTGTCTTCAAACAACTAAAGCAAAACTGACTGACAAAGAAGTAAAAAATTAATTTTTTTACATGAACTTCTTGAGTATCAGGAGGGCTGTCAGAAATTGGAAGCTTTTCTTCTGGGAAGTCAACACATTCTTCTAGTCCATCAACTTCTACTTCACGATCTGCTTTTAAGTTCAACGCTACTTCCTGGTTAAGCCTAGGCTCAGAGATAACAGGACCTTCAGAGTTGCCACTATCACCAAGGACATCAGCCACAGCTGAAAGAAAAGTGAGAGTGAATCTTTTACATTTAAAATGAAAAATAAATCTATACACAATTAAGGGAACTATCAGAAAGGAAAAGGCGACAATGAACTTGAATATTATATTAATAAACTTTCACATTGCCAGAAAGTCTGCAACTTCTTTAACAATACATACCTTTCCCACAGAAATAAAAGAGAAAAAAAGATACATTTCACATTTTAAAATGATAACATTGGTTTTTCTCAACTGGAAGAGAATTCCTGCCCTTATCAGGAAACTTAATATGATGACGAACTGCTTCGAGGAAGTTCAGGCACTTGTTCCTTATAAATGTGAAAGCTGTATTCACCATGTGACTGACTACCAGCTATCCTTGTAGAGTAATTATAGAATGACATGACGCACATGCAATCTGGGCTTCGATATGACTAGGAAAAAGAATGAATCACTTTCTGTTGGCAGAAAACACTTAAATGAGTATAAACGTACTCTATCACTTTAAAAAAATAATTTTTGGGCTCACTTAAAAAGAAATTCCTTCTTTCATCTTCCCCTTTGCCAAAGCCTACCATGTCATTAGCAATCCTAGGTGATATAAATACTTGGGTGTACAGTTTGCAAATGACACAAAATACCACAAGAGGGGAAGATGACTACTAAAAATCCTTTAGTGTTTAACAACAACAAATCAATAAAAAAGCACAAAAATAAAAGATGAACTAGGAAAAACTACTTCTACACTTTTAATGGATAATGGGGCTGTTATCCCTAACATGTGAAAACTAATCAAATTGAAAGGAAAGCAAGCATTTTACCTTCTCATCAAATACATGAAGTATACAAACTTTATTGGATACAACAATAAAATATTAAAAATCTGTATATACTTCTTGACCCAACAAGTCCATGGTTAAAAAAAAACTGACATAGAATGTAATGTAATGCATATTCACTGCAGAAACAGCAAAACAAGCCCCAAATGTTCAGCAATAAGCAATTAGTTACGCATAGAGCATCTATACTGTGGAACACTTAGAGCTGTTAAAAAGAACAGAATTAATCTATTTTACTGACAGAAAAATGTCTTAAATACATTGAGAAAAGAAAGTTGCTTTTTTAAAAATAAATGTACTAATGATGATTATTTCTAACAGCTAACATTTATTAAACTTCAGGTACCAAGCACTACACGAAACACTTTACATGCAAATGGCTTAATCCTGACCACTCTATGAAATGGGTGTTATTAATATTCCCATTTAGAACTATTAATATTTTACCAACAAAAACATAGAAGCATAGCCCCTTTGCAGAACTGGGTTACGAACCCAAACATTCTGGTTCAGGCCTCCGCACTCTTTAGCCACCATATTATCTCCTCTTGCAACACATGGGGGGACATATGCACAGAAAACAAAAATTCAGGAAAGATACTTTAGATTGTTAATTACAGACCCTTAAAATGGGTGATCAGCTTTTCATTTTACATGTTAGACGATTCTCTCTGTATTACTCTATCATCATGTATTACCTTCTCAATCATGGGACAAAGACAAGTCTGCCGAAGCCTGTCCTAAGCCCCATTCATAATGTACGAGGGACAAAGGCGTGACAGTTAAGAGCATGGGCTCTAGAGTAACATGACAACTATGTCACAGTAGTGCTGTGAGGATTCAATGGGTTAATATGCACATGATTAGAAAAATTCTGGGCATAAACATTCAAGGTGTCTGCTTCCCCTAAATCCAACGTAAGCTCCTTGAGAAAAACATATCTTCCTCATCTCTGTATAGCCAGAATAGGCCCTCACGAAAATGCTCATTGAATTAAAAAAAGTAAATTCCATATATTTAATTTCCCTGGAGTATAACGAGTCATTTGTGATTTTCTAATGATGAAAAGTCAACTTTGGCCTTAAGTTATCACAAACACAAAATAAAAACTCTTCGGAGTCCAAGATGATCAAACAGCAGGGATACAGTTGGCTGTGGACTAGCAATTTACTTTTTCTTTTTTCATATTTCTTGTGCAAAATATGTCCACAAAAACCATTCTAATACTTTCAACATTAGAGCCACAGAATGCCTTACAAGCAACCCACTGTCTGAGGGCTGACACATCTCCTCAGAATACTTTTATGCCAGGAAAGCTGACCAGAGAGGGAGGAATAATTGAGGGGGAAAAATATGAATAACAGAACAGATTTTTTTTTGTTCTAAGAATAGAAAACTCTTTACTCAAAACACAAAAATGGAATAATCCTAAAGTCAAAATAATACCTACATTTATCGTCGATTGCTCTAATTGCAGAGGTACAGGTTTCAACAGATGTTAATCCTTCGTCCAACATTGGTGCCTTGGACTTCTTGGTGAAGATTTTCCTTTAGAAAAAGATATACACACCTTAGTGTGTAAGAAGATCCCATCTGCTTTAACCTGCTTTATAGTCCTACCCCCTAACTTGCCATTTTAGTGATATACAACTGAGGTTCAGAGAATACAGCTCAAATTCATTCTGAACAACAATATAAAATTGACAAGTGAATTTAGAAACACTGTACTTGTTTTTCCTATTTTCTAATGTTTTAACTCTTGTTCACAAAAGTAGGAATGACATGATTTAAAAATGCCTGTCAGTATACATTATATTTAAGCCAAGTTTTAATAATCTGTGGCCACAGTTTTCAAATAAGTCTGTCAAGTATTATGGAATATTTCCTATGAACTCGGTAGAAGAAAGGTTCAGTATTTTAATGCTACCTGGAAACAGTATGATAAATGACTCAGAATAAGAGACTAATAAAACCTGTATTAATCCATATGATGAAAATAAATCCTGGAATATGATGACAGTGCTCCTTGAATATTCTAATCTGACCTTTCTCAAAACCCAATTAAAGGATGCTAGTTTTAAAAATTAGGGCAAATAGCATTTTAAGGTAAATTCAAGAAAAAGCAGGTATTTAAAACATGTATAGATTTTACAATAAGAATAACCAACAGTGACACATCCCCACAAAATATCAAGTTAGTTTCTATTTTAAAAGGAATTAGCTAAGATAGTGAATATGCACCTAGATTCTCACTGGTAATTTTCACATGATTCTTTTTCATGTGATTGTTCTTTGTTTTGCAATCGTTGCAATTCCCGTCAAAGCCATTGCAATACATAACATTAGTTTTCGTTAAAATTCAAAAAACGTTAGAATTATAAAATAATTTGGGTAATTCTTTTCTATTGGCTTCTTTTACTTTTTCCATGCAGGCCTGGCAAAGATTCCAGCTAATAATCTAGATGTCTCAGGAATAAAGCATGTGATTTTTGTTCAATGTACACGGGGTGACTATCATGATATTGAACTGTATAGGTGGTCTGGAAAGTCCCTTTCATTATTTATAAATTAATGAACCATTTACAATGTGAATTATGTTTTATGTGGGTTAGTTTCACTAAATTACCCTCACTACTACTTGATAATTGAAGCTGTCCCTTTTTTGTATCCTCTACAACAGTGCTATTCAAAGTGCTGATATGCAATCTGTGTCACTCTTACAACGAGACAACGTGGTCTTGCCAGAAGGCGCATCAGTTACTTCGCTAACCATACTGATTAGTACAGCTGACTTTCCCTAAAGGAAGCAGAGTACCGATTTATATTCCAAGGCAAGCTGTTTATCTTGTTGCAGAACATAAACTCTCACCAATCTGCTTGACCACGCTTTGAACACGCTGTCTAGTAAGGTGTCAATTATTTGGGAGTATAATGTGTCAACCGGTCGTTAAAAAACACAAACCTAAGAGTCATGTATTGAACATACGAAAGGAAATAAAGCTGTCGTCTCCCCTGTGCTCTACCTTGGGCTACCTGTAAGAGTCTTGTGGCTGATCATCCTGAAACCACTGGAAAGCAGAGGACATGGAGGAATGCACAGCCGGGAGTGAAACTTTTGGTCTCAACAAAAACAGAATCACCGAAGAATATTAAAAGTTCACCAAAGAATATTAAGAGTTCTGCCTCAATTTATCATGTCTCTGTATATTTCCGAAATGTCTAGCAGCACTGCAAAAACGTCATAGTAACTACTTAATAACATACAACGGTACAACTAGACTTCTTTTAAAACAGCCAACATCACCAAATAGAGATGTTAAAGATCTAAATGAAATCTAACAAGCACAGAGTATTTTACTTCTGGTTCACAATTTCATTAAACTTCTTTTAAAAAGTATTTTTGAATTTTTCTCCGTAAACTTACCCTTCATGGATTGACGGTACAGAACTTTGAATGGGGCTTAAGTGATTCAATTCTGAAAATGCCTCCTCTGCAACTAAGAGATCTTTTGTTTCCGTACCTTCCAAATTGCCTGTAAGTCATATAGACAAGAACATTATTTATGCTAAATGTTTAGTGATTACTGGTATCTTGTGTGGGTAACCCCCACCTTCTGGGCACAAAGGAAGGAAAGTTAAGGAGACCCCCAGCACAATTAGTGCCTGAAGAATATCTTAGTTTATAATATTACTACTCTGTTGTTTCCTCTATCCTTTATATATAATCCTATTAGTTTATAATTGGAACAATTAGTGCCTGAAGAATATGTTACTACTCAGTTATTTCCTTTTCTATATATATATGATGATATCTTAGTTCATAGTTGGAGGAATGTCTAGAGCAGACACGGTACAGAGCATGAATTAAGGGAAAAACAGCTCTACATACATATCATATCTTGTTTATAGTCGTAGGAATGTCTACAGCAGACACGGTACAGAGCATTAATTAATGGAAAAAGTTATACCAGGACAAGAATCTATGGTCCAGGCAGTAGTGCCCCTGCCTGAAAGGGCATGCGCTACATGGCAGGCTGGCCCAGGGCAGCATTCAGTATTATAAAGATACCTGCTGCATGGCAGGCTTGGAACAAGAGTCACTCCTCCAGTAAGGAAGTTGCAGTATCTTGCGTCCAGTTCTTATGGAAAGCTGGCCTCTGGCTGGCAATCCCGCGAGCATCGAAGGGCTTAAAACCCCTCCTGTATAATCGCGCCTTGGTGGCTGTATAACCTGTCAGCTCTCTAGCTACCGTGCGGACTCAAAAGCATCCTCCTACAGAAATCACTGGAAGCTGCCAGCAGGTGGCGGTAGACCCTGTCAGCTCTGTTGCCGCTGTACTGACTCAAAGCATCCTCCTATAGACATCCTTAGAAGTTGCCTGCTCCTAGATAAGAGATGTTGCACACTGCACCCTCCTTACTACACACTGCCTACCTCCTTGGTGACCTAATGGGGGTAGGCCCCTTGCTTATTGCTCAGGTGAATGTCTTGACCCTATCACTCTCCTTAAAATGACCCCACTCACTACCCTGCCGCCTAACCTCTACCCAATAAACACAGACACTTCTGGACACTCAGGGCCTCGCCTGTCTCCGCTCAAGTGGCATTGGCCCTCTGAGCCCAGCTGCGCTCTGTCCTTCTGTGTCTTGCCTCTTTATTTCTTGGATCCTGTGCCTCAGCACAGCGATAGGGACACCCCATGATCCTGTACGGCTTGACCCTACAATCTTGCATTACTACTTTTTAAAATTTTGTTGGGTCTGCTTCTTTTGTTCTTTTAGGTTTACTGCTGTGTTATCGGACTGCTAACACTTTCTTCTAACCCTCAGAGCCTACCTCAAGAGCCCCCCTTAACCTCTCGCTTTTCACTGTTTGCTGAACAGGCACTAATGCAACTGTTTTACGTATATTAACTCACTTAATCCTCAATATCCAAAAAAGCAGAGAAGAAAACTGAAGCCTGGGGTTATACTGCCTAGCCTGGCTCATGACGCGTACTCAGTAAGCAGCTGAGTGAGCTAGGGTTCGAATCCAGCCTGAGTCACTCTAGAGTCTGTGCTATAGGAACCCCTCTACCAAAAAAAAAAACATAGATTTCTATTTGAGACTGCCTAACATTGTTAGGAATAATCAGTGAAGATAATGGTACGGACATTCTTTTAATAGCTACCATTTAAACATTTTGGTAGTACAAGGCACATCAAAAGAGCAGTGTAGACCGGGAGCGGTGGCAAATGCCTAAACTCTAGCTACTTGGGAGGCTGAGCCAAGAGAACTGCTTGAACCCAGGAGGCAGAGGTTACAGTGAGATGAGATAGCCCCACTGCACTCCAGCCTGGGTGACAGAGCAAGACTCTGTCTTATTAAAAAATAAAAATGAAAAAAAGGCAGTGTAAATTTCTAGACATTTATGAGCATAGTCCTAAAGTTCTTAGAGCAAGCAATTAACAGTGCCCATGCTTACTAAGAAAAAAATATCATAGTCCAAACTTCAGTGGACTTGCCTCTTAAGCTACCTAAGACATAGATTTTTATGTAAGTGTATGTGTTTTTACAACTTTAGAGTTACCAGTTACTTTTAAATAACCTTGTTAAAACTGTATATAGTGTAAGAAACATACAAATAGGCTAAGTTTTCTGATCCACCAATTCTAGGTCAAGTCTCTTCCCTTCACTAGTGTTCCCCTGGCCCCCCATCCCTCCAACATAGCATGAACCAAACTGTAAGTGTTTGTCAACATAGTCCACCATGCTCTACGTGACATGGGAACAGGTGCCGTTCTACTTTACTCACTGTCTGATCTTCAACACCCAGAATAAACATAGTAGGAGCTAACTGGCATACATTAGGGACTCAAACAATTTTTTTGAAAATGAAGATAATATAAATGCACTAGCCACTGAACTAGTTGTTTTTTTTTTCTTCTTCTTCTTCTGAGACAGGGTCTCACTCTGTTGCCCACGCGGGAGTGCAGTGGTGCAATCATGGCTCACTGCATCCTCAACCTCCACCTCCTGGGCCCAAGTGATCCTCCCCTCTCAGTGTCCTCAGTAGCTAGGACTATAGGTGCTTGCCACCATACTCAGCTAATTTTTTTTTTTTTTTTTTGTACAGATGGGAGTCTCCATATATTGTCTAGGCTGGTCTTGAACTGGGCTCAAGTAATCTTCTCACCTTGGCCCCCAAAGTGCTGGTATTATAGGTGTGAGCCACTGTACCTAGCCTGAACATTTAACTGTCCAGTGATTATTCTGGAGGTGAGGATGGAGAGTAGAATGAAATTCCTGATTTATAAGAATTCTAGAACTTAAAACTGCTGGATAAGTTAAAAATTGCAATACTTCGTTCTGTAAAGTTACTTCTCATAGCTACTAGAAGGACTTTCAAGTCAGACTATGGCATCTTACATTTCCTTCCTTAAAATATGACTGTTCTTTTCTAAATTTCATGGCCAAATAAAAAAGTACATGTAAGTCCTCCTTCTCTGAAATCTCATACCTATTCATGAAACAATGTAAGCCATACTTTCTAAGCCAAAAGAGTAAGATCTGTGTGTTGTGTCTAGGAACCAGTACACTGTGAGCATGTAATAATTTAACCCTGAAGCTTTCTTTTTGAGACACAGTCTTGCTCTGTTGCACAGGCTGAAGTACACAGGTGCAATCACGGCCCACTGAGGCTTCAAACTTCTGAACTCTACCACTTCAGCCTCAAGGGCAGCTGTTAACTGCAGGCTCATACCACCATGCCTGGCTAATATTTTAATTTTAATTTTGTAAAGACAGAGCCTTGCTATGTTGACCAGGCTGTCTTAAGCCCCTGGGCTCAAGCAATCCTCCAGCCTCAGGCTGTAAGCATGTGCCACAGTGCCTGGCTGTGATGCTTTTTTCTTACGGTGGGAAAAACTCTATTATAAACTTCATTGAGGAACATTAGTAACAATTTTGAGTATTCAGAAATGAGTTCTTACCCATTTGTTTCTCCAGGTCTGAAGGAGTTACTTTTGACTCAAGTACATCTTTATCTCCAGCCTTTTCAATTTGTTCAGTTACCTTAGGTTCAGTGGAACAGCTTTTTGGCTTAGAGCCCATGAAAACAGTATGTTCAAGGTCTTCTGGTGATGGTGCATCCTGATACTCTAAGGTAGTCTCCACGCTGCTGTTTTCTTTGCTCATATCCAGTTTCTCTAACCTTTGTGACCCCACATTCATTTCTTGATGGTCCCTTTCAGGGCTGCTGAGGATAAAAGGTGTCACCCTATCTTTGCTCTTCAGCCATTCGGTTTCTGCTTTGCTATCATCTGCAGCCTGTTAAGTAAGATTTTGAAAAGAAAAAGAATTAGTAAATATCACAGTTCGGTCTGGTCCTAAGCTCCCCATCTCAATCACACCCACATTTTCTATGCTGTTTGTACCCAAACTCTCTCCTTAATAAAAATTCACTTATTCTAAATCAATTATCTTCTGGTACATAAAAGTTAATGTGGCTAATGTTTCCCTAATTGGTAATATACCAGTATTTTCAGGAGACTAAAACACACAACAGGCTAGATGACCAATAATCACTGAAAGGTTCCTAATAACCTACAGTGGATCTAGAGACACACCCTCCTAACTACTCCACCAGTCAGAAACTTATAAGTAACAAAATACAACGTAAAAGTAAACATTAAAAAAAGGACTAAGAATTAGGAAATCTGGATCCTAGTCCCAATTATACCACCATATACCTAGATGACTACAACCAACTTACTTGGTGTTTCCAAGCCCTTTTATCTGTAAGATGATGGGTTTGGCTGAGCCAATGGCCCCAGTGTTTCTTTCAGAACTAATATTTTCTGATTGCATTACTATCTGCAAGCTTATATACAAAAATCTAGGCTGGGCGTGGTGGCTGACACCTGTAATCCCGGCACTTTGGGAGGCCAAGGTGGGCAAATCACACGGTCAAAAGATCAAGACCATGCTGGCCAACATGGTGAAACCCCATCTCTACCAAAAATACAAAAATCAGCTGGGCATGGCGGCATGCGCCTGTAGTCCCAGCTACTCAGGGGCTGGGGCAGGAGAATCACTTGAACCCAGGAGGCAGAGGTTCCAGTGAGCCAAGATTGTACCATTGCACTCCAGCCTGGCAACAGAGTGAGACTGTCTCAAAAATCTATAGTGGTATTTTAAAAATTGATTTATGTAACTTTTTACTTGTAGGAGCTAATACATTCTTATTAAATATCTTTTCTCCCAATTATCAAACGTACTCCAGGAATCCATTTTGGGTTCACGTCTTCCTCCACAAATGAAATTCTAGTTTCTTTAAGTCGTTGAGGAGACCTTCCAGGTGATGGAGAGGGAGATACTAAAGGTGTTGATCGAAGAGCAGATCTCAGGATGGACTGAGGAGTGAACTCAGAAAATCCAGAAGAAGTAACTGACATGGCCAAACTTTTAGCTTTCTAGGATAAAGAGCAAATGGAATTACACCATTAAAAGGTGCTTATGTAAGAACAGACTGGGTCAACTGAGTCACAATAGTGGTTATAGTCTAATCTCCAGTAAGCATGTAAATAGAAATATTTATTCCAGATTTCTGCAAAGAAAATACAAAATTCTTCCAGAGCTTTTTATATGTAAGCCTATGAAACCTAAAACTGCATCCACAATCTTTCTAAAAGCATTATTTCCAGCTTAAATTCAACTAAAAAATAAACTGCCAATTAGGAAGATAAATTACTTAACATTATAGAATTATAGAAATCTAATAATTACAGAAAGCTACAGTAAGACTGTAGTATATTACAGAAAAAAAGTTCATCACAGAAATCCAGTAATAACCAAATTACATATTAGAATCCTCTGAAGATTTAGTACGATGAATACAAATAATCTGAAATTAGCATGTATGTTATTTAGTAGAGATAATTCCTTCACTTAACTTGGCCTCTAAAGGCCCAGTAAACAAATTACTGAATGTTGTTAGAGTATAATGAGTTCGTTAGACATGTTCTCCATAACAATTCTTTTTTCTAGGCTATTCTGGCAGCAGGTAAAAAATTATTCCAATTTTATTTCATTTGAACTTAGCTGTAGAGAATATAAAATGTATTTTTTTTAATAAATACACAATTGAATATTAGAGAAATCTTATTTTTCAACTTATTTTAATAACTATTTTAGGAATAGCATTTATTGAGATATCTTTTATTCAACTTGAAAAATAAGGATTCCCTGGCTTCGATATAAAAGCTGGATATCCAAACAGAGAACCCAGGGACAATGGGGAGGGATGAGGGAGAAAGAAAGCTTCTGGGTTTCAATCCGTAACACTGGTCAAGGGGCTAGGGAGATAATATGTAAAGGAACTTTAAAAATGGAAAGGTAAAAGACCACCACTAGCAGATAACACAAGTTCAGTATTGTGATTTCTGAGCTAATAACCTTTGAGGGATGAGAAAAGGCAATTTAAAAAGGGATAAACCAAAGCAGGAAGGAGTGACAGTTTATAGCTTCATCAGGAGTCAAAAAATTGAATATATAAAAATAAACCTAAGAACGAAATAGCATTTGATAGAATAACAGCATAATGGTATCGGCAATGGAGTTTATATAAAAGTAAAATAAAAACAAACTCAAGAACCTGAAAGTATTACAAATGACAAAGGCAAATTTATAATGACCACACCTTGCGTTACATTTATGAAAATAATGTGTTAATTGTTAACTTTAAACAGGAAAGGATAAATTTAATCAACTGTTTAAAAAGATGTGAAAAACACAGAAGAATGCTTAAAGCACTTCCCAGCACTCCCCAAACACATCAGTTATAAATTTTTCTCCTTGTTACTTGAAAAGGAAGAACCATCTAGTTTCATTGTGAATACCAGATGTGTAAATACTAACTTTAACAACAAGAGGAGTTTCAAGCAAATGTAATTCTGAAACTCTGGAGATGGTCTGAGGTGATCCTTTTAATTGCGAACTTGAAGGCAGTGAACGGGATACGAGGTACAAAGGAGATCTCATGGAGCTTTGCTGAATAAACTCTGAACACTGAGAAGGCTGGGGGACAGGCTGAACAACCAAATCCAGCAGTCTGGAATGAGAATATGCATTTATTGAGTTATACTGAAAAACCAAAAGAATTTAGTATCCATTTAATCAGACTTCCACGTTCATGGTAACTATGATAACCACATGCAAACACAAATTCAGTCAAGAGTATTAATGTAATCCAAAGTGCCATCATGCATGTAAAAAGTCAGAAAATTATTTCATAGCAAAATAAAAAATTAAGAATTGCATGTAGCAACTGATTTTTCAAAAGAGTTCAAGTCGTCCTCCTTACCTTTACCTACATTTTCTGAGTTCTCACATGTGCCCAGCATTTATTTTCAAATAAGGATGAACTGGCAATGATGTAAAATACTAAAGCACACAGGACAAGGCTTCCCTGGCAAACCGTTTACTAAAATTCATTAACATGTAAAACATCCCTTCACCTGCATGTAATATATGTAATGAATATTGGTTCCTTTTGCCTTTATGGTTCTCACTGCCGTGAAGACTAGTGACCACCCCCTCCAAAAGTTAACTTCTTCAAATTAATGAGTTTGGTGACAAAGTACAATCTTAAGATTCTACTACAAGGCTTTCCATTATATCCTAGTCCCGGTGATAAAACTGATCCCACTGATTACTTGTACTGAACATGTATAATCCAAGTGAGTTTTAAAGCTTAATTTATAGATACATAATTTAAGCTCAAAAGTAGAGTTTTCAGGTAATAATTTTTGGTGGACCATTTGCACAGGTCACTCCTTTCTCAATTTCCTAATAAACAGTCTATTTTATGGTTCGATATTCTAGTGGTGAAAACAATCCTTTTTTACTTCTCCCAAATGCCAGCGTGGCTCACCTGAGAATAACCAGAAAAGTACAGGATGCTTTGGAGGCCAGAAATAAAAGCTGCTGGTTGCTGTGCCTTCCTTTTCATCGATAGGCATATCGATGAGCATTTTGCTATTAGGGGTGGCAGACCAACACGGGTGATAGCGAGGAAATATTTAAAGGTCTTCCCACTTGTTATTCTGTATCAAACACAGCTTTTACATTTCTACCAAACCAAGATTATCTAATCAGGCTGCTAGATATTTCTTTTTTTCTGATTCTCTTCTCTATTCATTTGCATTTAAATTCTGTGCTTGGAAAACAGTTTGCTCACTTTTATACTGAGCTATCCCAAAGGAACATTTTGTTAAATGTTTGTTTTGCATGTGTTAGTATTTATGTTTAATGGACTTATTTATGAATGACTGCTTCTCAAAAGCAAGGCCTGTGCAACCTACTAAGTCAAAGCAGAACTCCTACATCAACAAAACTGATTTTGTTTTTTTTTGAGACAAAGTTTTCCTCATTGCCGAGGGTGGAGCACAACGGCATGGTCTCGGCTCACTGCAACCTCTGCCTCCTGGGTTCAAGTGATTCTCCTCCCTCAGCCTCTCAAGTAGCTGGGATTACAGGCATGCACCACCAAGCCTGGCTAATTTTGTATTTTTAGTAGGGACGAGGTTTCTCCATGTTGGTCAGGCTGGTCTCGAACTCCCAACTTCAGGTGATCCATCCACCTCGGCCTCCCAACTGCTAGGATTACAGACACCAGCCACTGGACTCGGCCAAAAAAAGGTTTTAAGAACTACTTTTAAGATATTTTCTAAATGAAATATTAAATATTGTACTAGGTCTCAGGACTTCAACAAATGTTTTTTTTACCATAATCCAAATAAACAATGCATCTCACACATAAAAATAAAACATCAATTACATATATTAGCACTTCAGGCTTGCTATGTTTTCCCTCAGATGTCATCTATTCTACCCTATTTCATTGAAAGATATAATGTCTACCCGGTAATGCAAACTCAGTATGAAAAACAGAACCAGGGAATAAAATTATTTTTATAGAAGGAAATATTCATAACTCAATTAGCTCTCTTACATCTGAGTTAATACTGGTTTTTAAAAATTCTCACAATACTTTAAGGACCTGAGGCCATTAATCAAAGGTCTTTTAACTTCTATTATTGACCCCCTGCTAAACCTCAGAGCTATTAAAGTACAAAAAGACCAAGAAAGGGGAACTTGCAGAAAAAAAATCAGAACTATTGGTAGAAAAAAGAATGTCGGTAATAATGACTTTCATTTAAAATATCTTCTTTCCATTTAAAATACCGACTTTCCATCTTATGAGAGTAAGTAAAGGGAAACAACTAAATTTAGTCCAAAAAAATGAAAAATCCTTCTAAGCTTTAAAATATGTCCATTATTGCACTCTATAAATACCTCTGGCCTCAGTTGTTTGTACATCCTTATCTCAAATATCTTCCTTTTGGTATCAAAAATTCAGATAATGTTGTAATGAACATCTATAATCATCATAAATACTGTAAACAATGTAATTTTGTCTTTGATAAAACAATCGAAAATTTGCAATGCCAGGCGCGGTGGCTCACGCTTGTAATCCCAGCACTTTGGGAGGCCGAGGCGGGTGGATCACGAGGTCAAGAGATCAAGACCATCCTGGTCAACACGGTGAAACCCCGTCTCTACTAAAAATACAAAAAATTAGCTGGGCATGGTGGCGCGTGCCTGTAATCCCAGCTACTCAGGAGGCTGAGGCAGGAGAATTGCCTGAACCCAGGAGGCGGAGGTTGCGGTGAGCCGAGATCGCGCCATTGCACTCCAGCCTGGGTAACAAGAGCGAAACTCCGTCTCAAAAAAAAAAAAAAAAAATTTGCAATGATCCTGGGCATACTAAGGACAAAGAATCAATGTATCAAGAGACATGCTATCTCTGTGACGGATAATTATGACAACTTTTCAACTAACCAATGCTCGTAAGTAAATACTTGCAATCACAATTTCATCTTGGATATAAAACTTCAACTTAACTATTTTTGTAACACCACAGGTAAGATGTAAAAGTACTGCACCTGAAGCAACACAAGACATTTTAGTAGGCACTGTTGAACAGGAGAAAGCTTCAATGAGCCACCCAAGATTAATATGTAATTAAGTATAATAACCTTCATTTAGAAGTCTATTAACAAGGAAATAACATCAAGGACAATAAGTTAATAGTTTGCTCATGAGAATAACTTCTCTCCTGTTCACTAAGCAGTCTGAAATTATTTAACAAAAATTTCAAGTATACTCCTACCTGATGTTAAATTTCCTAAAATTACTATACTGCTGCCCAAATTACAATAAAAACCTAGTATTAAAATATTCATTTAATTTAAAAGTCTATAAAATGCTGAATATAATTAAAAATTATAATTGTAATTATCATCTAAATCTAACATTGTGTCTCTAAGAAAGATTTAATAAATTCTTACCTAGAAATTTTCTGTGACGCTTTTGAAATTGGTGTTCCAAAAAATGCCTCAGGCAGCCCTGGAGCTGGGAGTGAATACACTATAGGAGATGCTTCTTCTATTTTAGAACTACAAAAACAAAAATTTGACTTCTAATGTATCACAAGGAGCACTGATATAAAGTGGATGAGATGGGAGAACAAAGAATTTTTATGTTTTTACTTTGCATATTTCTGCATCATTTACATTAACAATGTACATGTCACTTTTAAAGGTTTAAAAAAATTCTTCTAAGAAACACAGCCAACATGGTTTTTCTTTTTAACATACATTAATAAACGTAGGCAATGGGAGTGGATTGTTGATGAATGCTGTTGACTGTCCAGTAAAGATTAACAAGCAGAATGACTACAAAAGGTGTAAGAAAAACATACCTAACGGAAGGTGTGATGCTATTTATAGGTTCTTTGCTTGCCCAAACTTCTCCAATTTTAGATAACACATTGTTGATGAAAACAGATCTTGTCAACACAGTTCCTGTTACAACTTGCTTTGGAACTGCTGATAATGGTTTGGGCCTAGAAACTGTAAAATGAAGAATGGAATAATGAACTGCATCTCTAACAAGATTTTAATAAAAGCATATTAAAGAATGATTAGGAAAAAAACACATTACATGATAAGAGTAGCTAAAATTATATTTGGTTTCTTTTTTTTGAGACATAGTCTTGCTGTCACTCAAGCTGGAGTGCAGTGGTGTGATCTTGGTTCACTGTAACCTCCACCTCCTGGGTTCAGGTGACTCTCCTGCCTCATCCTCCCAAGTAGCTGGGATTACAGGCACGGCCACCACGCCCAGCTAATTTTTGTATTTTTAATAGAGACAGGGTTTCACTATGTTGGCCAGGTTGGTCTCGAACTCCGGGCATCAAGTGATCCTCCCTCCTCGGCCTCTCAAAGTGCTGGGATTACAGATGTGAGCCACAGGCCTGGCCTATATTTGGTTTCATTATAGTTATGCAGGATTAACAAGTTGGCCTTTCAGTAAGCGGTAAAAAAAAAAAAGTTATTCATTGTGTTTTCTAGAAGATGGACATTTGCCTTCAACTCAAATAAGAGTTCTTTCATTATGCACTACCCTAGTAAGAGTCAAATCTTCTAAGAAAGCCTTATATTTGCTGGGTTATAGAGCAGCCAATAAAAAAAAAATCCCTGTGATGAATGAGTACAGGTCTACCTCATTTTCTTGTGCTTTGCTTTACTGTTTTTTTTTTGGAGACAGTCTTGCTCTTTCGCCAGGCTGGAGTGTAGTGGCACGATCTCGGCTCACTGCAACCTCTGCCTCCCAGGTTCAAGCGATTCTCCTGCCTCAGCCTCCCGAGTAGCTGGGACTACAGGCACCTGCCAACACGCCCAGCTAATTTTTTATTTTACTAGAGATGGAGTTTCACCATGCTGGCCAGGATGGTCTCGATCTCTCGACGTTGTGATCTGCCCACCTCAGCCTCCCAAAGTGCTGGGATCACAGGTATGAGCCACTGCACCTGGCCGAGTTTTGTTTTTTTAAACAAACTGAAGGTCTGTGGCAACCCTGTGTTCAGCAAGTCTGCTGGCACCGTTTTTCCAACAGCATGTACTTATTTTGTGTCTTTCAGTAATTTTCATATTTCAAACGTAATTATTATATCTGTTAGAGTGAACTGTCAACAGTGATCTTTGATGCTACTGTTTTTTCTTTTTTTGAGATGAAGCCTCCCTATTGTTAGCCCCAGGCTGGAGTGCAATGGTGTGATCTCAGCTCACTGCAACCTCTGCCTCCCGGGTTCAAGCCATTCTCCTGCCTCAGCCTCCCAAAGAGCTGGGATTACAGGCGCCTGCCACCACCTCGCCTGGCTAATTTTTGCATTTTTAGTAGAGATGGGGTTTCACCATGTTGGCCAGGCTGGTTCTGAATTCCTGACCTCAGGTGATCCGCCTGCCTCGGCTTCCCAAAGTGCTGGGATTACAGGTGTGAGCCACCGCGCTCTGCCTGACGCTACTACTGTAATTGTATTGAGAAGCTACAAAATGCACCCATGTAAGACAGCAAACTTAATAAACGTGTGTGCTCCGACTGCTTCACCAACTAGCCATTCCCAGTGATGAGCTGTTACCCCATGAAAGCTCTCCCTTTCCTGGAGGACCTCCCTTATTCTGAGACTGACAATGTCCAAACTAGGTCAACTAACAGTCCTATGAAAACCCCAAGTGTTCATGTGAAAGGAAGAGTCACATGTATATGACTTTAAATCAAAAGCCAGACCTCTCATGCCAGTTAGCCAAGTTGTAAATGCAGAACAGAACCTGAAGGAAATTAAATAGTGCTACTTTGGTGAACAAATGGTAAGAAAGGAAAACAGCCTTGCTGCTGCAATGGAGAAAGTTGTAGTGGTCTGGACTGAAGATCAAACCAAGCTGGGTGCATGGTGTATGCCTGTAGTCCCAGCTACTTAGGAGGCTGAGGCAAGAGGGTCACTTGAGCCCAGAAGTTTGAGAGCAGCCCGGGCAACACAGTGACATCAAACCAGCTACACCATTCCCTTCAGCCAAGACTTCATCTCGGCCAGACATGGTGGCTCACGCCTGGAATCCCAGCACTTTGGGAGGCCAAGGCGAGTGGATCACTTGAGCCCAGGAGTTCGAGACCACGGTGGCAGGGGGCAAAAACAAAAAACCTATCCAGGTGCTGTGGCCCATGCCTGTAGCACCAGACAGTTGGGAGGCTGAGGCAGGAGGATCACTTGAACCCAGGAGTTTGAGGCTGCAGTGAGCAATGATTATCACTGCACTCCAACCCTGGCCACAGAGGGAGACTCTGTCTTAAAAACAAAACCTAGGCCGGGCGCGGTGGCTCAAGCCTGTAATCCCAGCACTTTGGGAGGCCGAGGCGGGTGGATCACGAGGTCAAGAGATGGAGACCATCCTGGTCAACATGGTGAAACCCCGTCTCTACTAAAACTACAAAAAATTAGCTGGGCATGGTGGTGCGTGCCTGTAATCCCAGCTACTCAGGAGGCTGAGGCAGGAGAATTGCCTGAACCCAGGAGGCGGAGGTTGCGGTGAGCCGAGATCGCGCCATTGCACTCCAGCCTGGGTAACATGAGTGAAACGCCGTCTCAAAAAAAAAAAAAAAAAGTCTTCAGTTCTATGAAAGCTGAGAGAGGTGAGGACGCAACAGAAGACAAGTTTGAAGTTAGCAGAGTGTGGCTCAGGGAGTTCAGGGAAGGAAGTCTCTGTAACATAAAAGCACAAGGTGAAGCAGCAAGTGCTGATGGAGAAGCTGCAGGAAGTGACCCAGAAGATCCAGCTGAGATGACTGATGAAGGCGGCTACGCTACTCAACAGACTTTCAGTGTGGATGAAGCAGCCTTCTATTGGAAGATGATGCTATCTAGGACTTTCAGAGTTAGGGTGGAGAAGTCAATGCCTGGCTTCAAAGGACAGGGTGACTCTGTTGTTAGGGGTTAATGTAGTCAGTGACTTTAAATTGAAGACTATTTACCATTCCAAAAATCCTAAGGCCCTTAAGAATTATGTGAAATCTATGCCTGTCCTCTATCAAAGGAAAAAGCCTAGATGACAACACATCTGTTGACAGCATGGTTTACTGAATATTTTAAGCCTATTATTGAGAACTGCTTAGGAAAAAAAAGTCTTTTCAAATATTACTGCTCACTGACAATGCACCTGGTCACCCAGGAGCTCTAATGACAGGGAGATGAATGCTGTTTTCATGCCTGCTAACACAACATCCATTCTGTAACCCATGGATCACAGAGTATCTCAATTTTCAAGATATAATTTAAGAAATATACTTCAAAAAGCTATAGCTGTCACAGATAGTGATTCCTCTGAGAGATCTAAGCAACTAAGCAAAGTCCTCTGAAAACCTGGAAAGGATTCACCATTTCAGATGCCATTCAGAAAATTCATAGTTCATAGAAGGAGGTCAAACTATCCACTTTAAGAGGAATTTGGAGGCCGGGCACAGTGGCTCACGCCTGTAATCCCAACACTTTGGGAGGCCGAGGCGGGCGGATCACACGGTCAAGAGATTGAGACCATCCTGGCCAACATGATGAAACCCCGTCTCTACTAAAAATACAAAAATTAGCCGGGCGTGGTGCCATGCGCCTGTGGTCTCAGCTACTCAGGAGGCTGAGGTGGAAGAATCACTTGAACCCAGGAGGCGGAGGCTGCAGTGAGCCAACATTGCGCCACTGCACTTCAGCCTGGTGGCAGAGCAAGACTCTGTCTCAAAAAAAGAAAAAATAAAAAGAGGAGTTTGGAAAAAGGTGATTTTATCTCTCATGAGTAACTTTGAGGGCTTTAAGACTTCAGTGGAGACAACAACTGCAGGTATGATGGACACAGCAAGAGAACTAGAATGAGAAGTAGAGCCTGGGTCAGGCATGATGGCTCATGCCTGTAACCGCAGTACTTTTGGAGGCCAAGGTGGGAGGATCACTTGAGGCCATGACTTTGAGAACAGCCTGGGTAACAAGAGGCCAACTCTACAAAAAATAATTAGCCAGGCATGGTGGCACAGACCTGCGGTCTCAGCCACTTGGAAGGCTGAAGCAGGAGGATCTCTTGAGCTCAAGAGGCCAAGGCTACAATCAGCTACGATCATGCCATTGTACTAGAATATGGGGGACAGACCATGTTCTTGTTTTGTCTCTTAAAAAACAAAAACAAAATCAGACCAAAGATGCGATGAACTGCTGTAATCTTATGATAAAACATGGATAAATGAGGAATTGCTTCTTATGGATAGGCAAACGTGGTTTCTTGAATGGAATCTACAGTGTTGAAATAAGGTGAAAACAGACAGGGAGGGTCTCCAGGAATTGTAGGAATTTTATTTTGAAAGAGAAAAGTATAATATGTAAGTGATATTTTAATTACTAGCCCCTCTAAAGAGGAATCTAGTAAAAATACTGTACCCTCAACTTTCTAGCTGAAAGTGGGTAGAAGAAGACCTCAAAAAAAGAAAAAAGAAAAAAAAAAAAAAAAAAAAAGGCCCTAGGCTATTTAATTTCTCGGGGACAGAGGTTTCTTTCCCAGGACAGGAAAATGGCTATATATCAAATACCTCCTCCTCAGAACCAAAAAAACTTACATAAATTCTTGAAAATGGCAGGACTCTGTCATGCATAAATTCCCAATTTGGGCATTTTAACAAAGCTTTTTTTATAAAAAGCTGTTAAGAGGTAGAGTCAGACCCTTTTAAATAAGAGAAACAATACAACTGGGCCTTCAAAAAACTAAAAACAACTAACCAAGCACACAAAAAGTGACTGCTGCTCCCCACTGCAGCCCCGCTTAACTTGGCTAAACCGTTTGACTTATTTGTCCCTAAAAAAGCAGGGAATAGCCAGGGGAGTACTTACCCAAATGCTAGGACCACTAAAAAGGGTGGTGGCTCCATTTTTCTAACCAACTTGACATGGTGGCCAAGAAATGGCCCCCATGTCTTAGGATAGTAGTTACAACTTGCCTATTAATGAGAAAAGCTTAAAAGCAAATCATGAGTCAGACATTGACGGTCTAGGTCCTCAATTAGTTATCCAGAGATAAAACTAAAAACAGAGATATCATTGGCTTCTTGATGGGAGGATGTTACAATATAAAGTAAAAGTAAGAGACAGCCAAAGTATCCATATCAAAGTGTGCCAGGTCCTAGCCCTGCCATGTTCCTGCCCACATCCCAGGAACCCTCCCACACAAATACTTAAACCACTACTGGTAAAATATACTGTAGTCCGAAGGACCTAAAAAACAAACTCTTTCAGAACTCTGATGTTAATAAAGCCTTTGTTCGTAAATTAGAGTAACATCACAGAAAGGGGCCAAGAGATATAAACAAGCTCACTTGGAGTTGAGGATACTCCAACATGATACAACACAAACGTGAACTTTACAAATGACCCTGATCCCAGACTTCCTATTCCACAGCTACCTCTGTGATCCCTGCCTAGACAGAGCCCCGTCTTCAGGGCAGGCGAAGGCCGTCACGTCCACACAGACTCTAAGTAAGCGTTCTCTAAAAAAATTTACTGTAGGCATGGGTTAAACAGGCCTCCTGACTGCAGACAATAAAGAGGTTAACCATATTAAAAATATTGCAGCTATTAGAGGCAGTACTTACCTAAAAGGGTAGGGGTGTTCTACTGCCAGGGTCACCAAGAAAATAAAAAATTCTGAAGTGATTAAAAAAAAAATAACCTAACAGACACAGCTACTAAAAAGACAACACAAACATATGAACTTTACAAACGACCCTGATCCCAGACTCCCTACTCCACAAGTACCAGCCTCAGTATTCACCTCAGGAATTAAAGCCAAATGGGAAGGGTATTTTCCAAATTTGGATTCAGAAGGATGAACTATTAACGCCAAAAAAAAAAAAAAAAAAAAAAAAAAAAAAAAAAAATCTAGATTCCCAAAAACCTAGGGTGGGCTATAATTAAATATGGCCACACATCATCACATTATGGTAAAAACAAAACAAAACAAAACAACCTTCTGCAATTAATTAAGGTAATAAAGATACCAGATCTAAGAGATAAAGCAGACCAAGGCTCTAACAGGTGTCTCCAATTTGTACAAAATAATACTCAGATCGGGCTCCCTTACGACTCCACTAACCCAAGCTATCCAGCTGGGGTGGCATGCCAGGAAAAGACAGACAAAAAGACTACACTGATGCCCCAGGCATCCAAACACTTCAACCTGCTAGTTGCCTTGGCATGCTCAAACCTCTGACATGTACTGCTGTTGGGACCAAGAGGGCAGTAAAATGTTGTAGATTTTAAAAAGGGAACACAAACTCAAAATATGTGAAACCACAATCTTCTAGTTCCAACTGAGGTTAAGCTTCACCCATATTAACCTAGAGACTGGGTTCATCCTAAGACTCAAAAATCCAAATTACCGCCAGAGCCACAAAACCCTGTTTGGACCATGTACTATTTACCACTCCCTCTTCTCTTAAATTTCAGGGGCTCAAATCCTAGAAGGCATCATTCCTGCATGAAGCCTGCACCACAGCCCTCAGGCCAGGCTCTACTAGGTCCAACTTACTCCTATAGCCTGGTCTCTGATCTCAGGCTTCTCTTCTGGGGAAGGGATATCATATGTAAGGAAAACATGCCCTTGCCATACTCCTGACATATTCAAACTTTCTTCCTTATAGAACTCTCTATACTCATTATTCTTCTGTCAAAGAAAAAAATCTTAACTGGTAATAAATCACCACATAAAAAATAAACTCCTTCTCCCTTTACGGTTTAGTCCTTTTTATGGCTGTGGCGGGTGGTCTCCGGAAAGACAATACACTAGTCTTTGCTTCGGATACTCCTCCCAGTGTTGTCCTCCTAACTCAGAAGCGAAATAATAAAAGTCCGATTGATCCAAGCCTGCCTTCTTGTAGAGTAGTTTGTTAGTCACCAGGCATTAAAAATATTACATAAACTTAAGATGACAGGGCAGAGGCAGGGTTTGAGAAGTTCTACTATGGGTAAAACACTATCAAACAGTATCACATGCTACAGAGAAACTTGAGTGAAAGGAAATTAATGTGGCAAGCTCACTGTGTCATCGTTAAGAAACTGTCACAGCCGACTTCAGTAATCACCATGCTGATCAGTTAGCACCCATCAACATTGAGACAAGACCCTCTATTGGCAAAAAGATTACCACTCATAGAAGGCTCAGATGATCGTTAGCATTTTTTTTTTTTTTTTAGCAATAATGCATTTCAAAATTATGTATGTCCACTTGTTTTTAGGAATAATGCTAGCATACTTAAAAGCATAGTGTAAATATTATGCAATGGAAAACCAAAACTTCAGAAGACTAGCTTTATCATCATACTCACTTTACTACAGTGGTCTGGAACCAAAGTAGCATTATCGCCAAGGCATACCCTGGCTACGTATTAGCAAGTGAGCTAAATTTAAGGTGGTTTCAGAAAAGTAATCCTTCAATAACTTTTTTGGTCCAATAGATTATAATATTTTCCAATGAAATTCTTACCTAATCGAAAAACTGATGATGTTGACAGATGATAAGGCTTAGCTCGTTCAATGGCTAATTTTCGATGGACTCTAGGAAGGATTTTTCCATACTGGTCTAATATAGAATTTCGAGCCAGTGATCTCTCCCGCAAACGAGGATCACGATCATTCTATTAAACATATCAAAATTGGTAAAAAAATTTAACCTTCAAAATGTTAGCTGCTATAATTCTATATTTACCATTTAAAATAAAATTATGAATATCCAAAAATATCTTCCTCCTACCTACATATCCACTTTTACAAACCAATAACTTCATCCACATATCTAATTGTTTTATCAATCCTCACCCATCAATAAATTCCAAATCTCCGCTACCAAGCCTTGATTCTTCACAACTAATAAAAACAATGGTTATCATGTATTAAGCATCCACACTTGTCAGGCAACATTCTACTTCATACACATCTCTGTGCATCCTCAAAACAACCTCACAAAGAGATTTTATCATTTTACCGTTGATGAAACCAAGACTTACAGTGTGTCCCAAGCACACAGAGTAAATGAAGAGTTAGTCTGACCCATGAAGTCAACGATCTTTGTACTATGTAAGTACCACAGCTGACCTCTGCATCCTCCTCTCCTACACAATCATCTTTCTACTATATATTCCTACTGCCGGCCTCTACACCTGCTTTTTCCCTGAGTCAAAGGGCAATATTGTAGGCAGATATCAGAACATAAATGGCATACATAAAAGAATTAGGTAGTACCCTGTACCCAATTCTGCTACAGAGGTGAATAGAGGATTCTGCAAGTTCAAGGTAATGTAAGGCACAGTGATTACTGAACCATTGTAAGCTCTTATATGACAAATCAAAAAAGGCTCCAGTTTTCCTTATTCTCTTATCCCCCATAATAAGACAACTTTAATCATACCATAACATTAATCTTCAGAGTTTGGTTCAGCTTCAAGGCAGGCACATAATTGGCACGCTGCAAATGGTGAACTAAAAGGAATTCATGATTCTGAACACTGGCACTGGACTGCAAAAATTTCACTAAACATTCCTAAAAAGAACAAAATAGATTGTAAACTACCAGTTCATCCTGAATTTCTGACAAGTTTATATTGTTAAGTAATTACCTGCTCAGTGTCTGTAAATGGTAACTTCAGTAAATCTTCCATTAAGCCCATTTCCTGACAGACTTCATACATGTGCTTTAGTAACTCCTCTATATTCAGCCTATTACAATGTTGCCGCAGAAAACTCCACGCCTCAACCATGCACCTGAAAGCAATATTTATTGAAGTTTAGTTTTAGAAAAGTTATTTAAATGTTCAAAACGCGTAATCTCCATGTAGAATCTCAAAGATACTTTGTAAAGTATGTTTACAAATAATTTAAAAGAACTTTAAAATTTGTTGAATATTGAGTACTGCACAATGAATCTTGCCAATCATAATAATGTCAGTAAGATGACTTGTTTAAATAATTTTATGCTGCTCTTTAGGTATAAAATAAAAAAGCAAGGAAAGTACACACAAATTCAAAGACAAAAAACTAATGTGGCCTAGACAGAGCTGAATGATTGGCATGGTGTGACAGAGGAACCTTAGGCTTTTAAAGAAGTGACACTCAGTGAGAAGCACGTGGACGAGACTGACCTACAGGCGGAAGCAGGCATACTGTGTTCAAGAGGAAGTGAAGAGTATAGCTTAGTAGCAGAAGACATTTTTTGGTTGATCTACAGCAAGATTTGATTGGAGAACTTGGGGCAAATTTGGCAGTCTTAGGCACCAGGCGGAGGTGCTGAGACATCCTTTTGTGGGCAATTAGATCATTTAAATGAAGGAGTATTTCTTACACAGATGTCTTCCAGAATCAGGTAGGAGCATTTTTTTTTCCTTTTTTTTTTTTAAATGCCAGTGTTCAACTCATACCCCACCGATAGGATTGTTCTGAAGGTTCACTTGACCCTATCTATGAAAATTATAATTACATATAAGCCATGGCCCAACAATCCCAATACAAAGAATATAATCTACAGAAATACCAGCAAAATTGCATAAAGATTAAGCATAAGAATATACAATGAGGGCCAGGCATGGTGGCTCATGCCTGTAATCTCAACACTTTGGGAGGCCAGGGCAGGCAGATCACTTGAGCCTCAGAGTTCAAGACCAGCCTGGGCAACAAGGCGAGACCTGACTACAAAAAAATACAAAAAGCGTGAAAAGCGTGGAAAGGACTGAGACCTACAGGTGGACACAAGCATATTGTGCCAGGCATGGTGGTGTGTGCCTACAGTACTCGCTACTCAGGAGGTTGAGGCGGGGGAATTGCTTGATCCTAGGAGGTCAAGGCTATAGTGAGCTATGATCATGCCACTGAACTCCAGCCTGGGTGACAGAGCCAGATTCTGTCTCAAAAAAAAAAAAAAAAAAGAAACGAATATGCAGTGAAATAATGAGCTATGATGTAGCCCAACATGAGGAAAATATGTATTAACTTGAAAAATCATAAAGTTTTTTAATAAGCAAGTTAAAAACCGTATGAAAGTGACAATTTTAAAAATTAACCAATAAAATTTCTGTTTATATATTTTTTAAATAGAAAAGAAAGAGTTCTGTAGATATACACTAAGAATGGTAATGATCAATCTGGCAGTTAAAATCTTTTGGAGAGGCTGACAACTTCCAAGGCAGAATAAAAAACAGCAAGATTGTACTGCTCTAGACTTTCTGTGAATACAAAGATACTCAAGGAAGCAATGGCACCCACTGTTGGGAGGTCAGGGCCATCTGATAATTTTGTTGTTTTGGGACTAGAATATTTTCACATATTCCACAGGTCTTATACAGGCCAACAACTCAAGGAAGAACAATGTATAGTGGTACTCCCTAAAAATTTACATCTAAAATTGGCTTGTACTTCTCTTTGCACCAGAAAAAGCATGACGGTGGAATCACTGTAATTTGAGTGTAGAAGAGTGTTCATCTGTGTGTTCCCATGCACAGAAATACAGTAATTGATTCCTAAACCAAAATCTAGAAATATTAAAAGCAGAACATTTTTGTATAAAGAAAAACAAAGAGGATAAGATGAACATTTCATCACTAAATCCCACAAGGTTGATTTCCCCAAAGTATACAAAGCTCTATAAATCAGTAAGAAGAATCCTAACACAGAAAAAAAAGAAGTCAAAGATTTTAATAGGCAGGTCACAAAAGAAACAGTTAAGAAAGATACATTCTATTATTACAGTGAGACTAAACATATTAAAACTACCATTTTCACCTATGAGATGAAGAGACAAAAAATATCTGGTATACTGTGTTGATAAAAGACACAGCATATGGTAATTGAAAGGAAATTATGTTGGCATAACACTGATGGAGGGCAATTTGCCCTATCTGTCAAAATTACAACACCAAAATTACAAGGGCAAATATCCTTTCACCCTAGGAGTTTATTCTACAAATTGGCACATGTGCGATATGTGTGGTTAGTCATCACAGCATTGTTTAAAATGGCAAAAGTTTGAAACAATTTAAATGTTCATTAAAGAGAACTATTAATAATTAGGGCCAGGTGTGGTGGCTCAAGCTTGTAATCTTAGCACTTTGGGAGGTCCAGGCAGGTGGATCACCTGAGGTCAGGAGTTCAAAACCAGCCTGGCCAACATGGCGAAAACTCATCTCTACTAAAAATACAAAAATGAGCCAGGCATGGTAGCAGGCGCCTGTAATCCCAGCTACTTGGGAGGCTGAGGCAGGAGAATCGCTTGAACCTGGAAGGCAGAGGCTGCAGTGAGCTGAAATCACTCCACTACACTCCAGGCTGGGTGGCAAAGTGAGACTCTTTTCCCCCAACCCTGCCAAAAAAAAAAAAAAAAAGAATTTAAAACATAATGGTACATCCATCCAAATAATGAACTACTATGTGATAGTTAAAAAGTAAATACTTTGGCCGGGCGCGGTGGCTCAAGCCTGTAATCCCAGCACTTTGGGAGGTCGAGGTGGGTGGATCACGAGGTCAAGAGATCGAGACCATCCTGGTCAACACGGTGAAACCCCGTCTCTACTAAAAATACAAAAAATTAGCTGGGCATGGTGGCGTGTGCCTGTAATCCCAGCTACTCAGGAGGCTGAGGCAGGAGAATTGCCTGAACCCAGGAGGCGGAGGTTGCGGTGAGCCGAGATCGCGCCATTGCACTCCAGCCTGGGTAACAAGAGCGAAACTCCATCTCAAAAAAAAAATAAAAACAGCAAGTAAATACTTTATGTATAAATTCTAAAATTAGTGCCAAACTAAATTAAGTGAAAAAGTATATTGCAGAAGGGTACACAGTCAGAAGGGTATACAGTTTGCTGTTTTTATTTTTTTTTTAAAGGGTGTAGGGGGAAAGAAACAACATATAGACATTTGTTAACATTTGTTTAGAAGATCTTAGGAAGAATACACTAGGAATTATTCACACTATTGGTTACCAGGAGGAAACTTAAGAGGTTGGGAGTATTATCATTCTTGCCTCTTAAACCTTGACACATATCATGTTCTTATCAAAAACAAATACTCCATGTCTCTCCCTGAGCCCACAGACATATATTTTTAAAATTTTCCACTTTAAACTGTGATACCTACTCCCAGCTGATTAGACATACTAGCAGGAGTAAGATAAACTTAAACACTTTAAACTTCAAGAAATCCATTTCTAACACTTACAAAAATTTAAAACAAAGTCTCCAAACTCTCACTAGTCTCAGGCTTCCTACAGAAGAAAATAATGATGCTAGGTAGAACAGTAAGAAAATTATTTCAATTTATGGCAGGCTAGGCTAGCATGTTGGCAGTAAAAGATATAGAAGTCATTTTAATAAGGAAGGCATGAGGGTTCTTGGCAATACAGCAAAAACAGACTGAAAAACCATCCTGTGACAAACTCTCTAGACATGCTAGACCACATATAGACATGCATTATGAAACGCATGATGGAGACCATAATAAAAAGAGATATTTAAGAGAGGTAAACAAGCAGCCACTGATTTCTAGTGATTGGAGTAAAGTAAAAAGACCAGGAAAAGATATACACAGGATATAAATAAAAACATTGTTTGTGTAGCTACATTAACAATTATTCATGATAAAGAAGGTTACCATATAGTAATTTTAAAGGTCATTAAAAAAAAACAATTTAAAACACGTATGTACCAACATTCAAAATACAAAATGCTTGGAATACTGTGGGGAACTGACACATCCACCCTTATGTCAGCAACTTTGCATACTTTTCTTAGTAACTTACAAAACACACCAGGAAAAAAATTATTAAGGACACAGAAAGATTAAAATCATGCAATGAACAACCTGATCGCTGGGACAAATACATTTGACATTTCACCTATTAAATGAAGAATACACTGAGTACATATCAGTGGATAAAGGAAGTCTTAGCAAAAAAAAAAATTATTTTTTAAATAGAGGCAGAGTCTCCCTATGTTGCCCAGCCTGGTCCTGAACTCCTGGGCTTAAGTGATCCTTCCACCTTGGCCTCCAAAGTGCTGGGATTATAGCTGAGTCACCGTGCCTGGCCATTTTTTATCATTACTTTTAAATAGATCAAGTCTTAGCAAATTTTAAAGGTCAAGTACCACGTGGATTATGTAATAATCCCATATTATGAGATTACAATTTAGAAACCATCAACACAATAATTTTTAAAACCCATTATTTATAAATTAAAACTTCTAAATCATACATATGGAAAATAAATAACCACAATGAAAATTTAAAAATATTTAGAACAGAATCATAATTAAAATTGTGGGATGCTGCTAAGGTGCTATGCAGGACATTCAGATTTATATTTTTATGTTACTGAAGAAAAAAGGCTGAAAATGAAGCAATCGTCCAACTTGAGTGAAAAGTACAGCAAAATAAACCCACATACCATAGAAAGAGGAGAAACAATTATGCCTATACAAACATTTTTCAGCTTTCTTATACATTTATGATCCTAAGACTGAACAATTAATGCCAGTAGCTGAACTGTCTACAACCTTCATGTATAAACTGATCACTGTACAGAATGCATTGTGGTTGATTTTCAAGTAAAACAGCCATGCCAGTTGTGATAATATGTCCATACATATAGCTCATGATATTGAAAAGCTACCAGTATGAAGTTTTAGAGAACTGCAAAGATGCTCTTAATGAGGAAACTCAGGTTCAGAGAGGATAACTCAACTGCTTTTGATCATATTTCAGAAAGTGGCATAATTTAAATTCAAATCTATTTGAGTCCAAACATCTTGCTCTTAACATCTTTGCTACACTAAGTGGCTGTTTCAGTAACATTGTTTGTAAGGGTGCAAATTAATAAGCAATCTAACATAAATTAATCAAAAACAAGGCAAAACGTCACTAGCACAGGGTGAGTCGGGAGAGTGTTACTGTTTGATGCTTCAAATATTAAAACTTTTTCAGCCATTTCAACTATATGCAATCAAATCATTTCGGTGTTAGACTATTATGCAGCCTAACCTCTCTTTTAGTTCAAATTTCCCAAATGTAGCCTCTATCCATGGTTCAAGGATACTGATTAAACATTGTTGGGCTAGAGATGTAGGTATCTGAACCAATTAGGTGATCACGTATGACAACAGGACATACTCAGAAACTTTGTTTTCTTGAATAAGTCTCTGTAAATCAGCTTGTTTTCTTATTTGCTTCGTTCTGATAAAAGTGAAGTGTAAAGTATGTTGTTACATCATCTCCCGGGCAATAAACATGGCTGCCTTTTGCAAAATTATCAGTTCAAGTATTAAAGCACCTTTCTCCTAAGATGTTTCAATAAAAATTGGCACCTTCACTTTCAGCAGTGTTCTCTGACTTCTTAGTCATTCTCTCTTTACAGGACTTGTAATTATTTTGAAACATTTCTTAAAACTGAATACAAGCTATCTCACAAATAGCATTCTGAGTGGTTTTTATTTCTTAATTTAATGTATAGGAGCCGTAATGTTCTAGTTTTCTGGGGACTGGATAATTGAGACTTTTTCCAACTTGAGAGAAATAAGGTTTAGAAGTTAAACTATTAGTGCTTGTTAACTATATATATGGCTAAGGTAAAGGAAATGAGAACCTAGCGTTATCAGGGAAACATGCTCTGGTAATTAAAAGAAGACACTTGGAATCAAAAGAAGAAAAAATCAGCAACCTTCCAAAGATGTTTCTTCCAAAGTTCTAACACCTGCCCTTCTGATGTAAGTATTAGTGATTAAGTGCCAACTCTTTAACATCACTGAAGAGCGTGAGGTGGGCTGGGCGCAGTGGCTCACGCCTGTAATCCCAGCACTTTGGCAGGCCGAGGCGGGTGGATCACGAGGTCAAGAGATGGAGACCATCCTGGTCAACATGGTGACACCCCGTCTCTACTAAAAATACAAAACATTAGCTGGGCATGGTGGCGCGTACCTGTAATCCCAGCTGCTCAGGAGGCTGAGGCAGGAGAATTGCCTGAACCCAGGAGGCGGAGGTTGCGGTAAGCCAAGATCGCGCCACTGCACTCCAGCCTGGGTAACAAGAGTGAAACTCCGTCTCAAAAAATAAGAGTGTGAGGTATGTGCAACCGAAAAAAAAAAGTGCATGTTGGTTTCCAACACAGTGCTAGAACTCTTAGCCCCTGCTGAATCCAACAGTTATCACATTTAGCTTCTTTAAATTATTTTGTTCTTAAGAGTAAATCTTCTGGAAACTACAGTTTTGATCTCATAAAAAAATTTCCATATTGATTCTAGATTTATTAAGCTAGCTAAACATTTTCGCTAAGCCAGATTATTTCAACAAGTACTTCCCTAATTCATTACTGTTAAGGTTCTATATGTCTAGTCAATCTATTATTAAATTTCAAAACTTTCCTTTTGCCTGAAATTTGTAGATCTTACCCTCTCTCTCTTATCCTTAGAAGTACATGCTATTTAACCAAAGAGAACAAAGAAAACATAACTTTCAGCATGCTGACACAGAAGTGGTAACTGGTTCAAATATAACACAGTGAGGTAAAGTGACTAATTTCTAAAAACATAAAAATGATCAAGAGGGTTGAATCGAACCAATAAAAGTAGTACAAAATAAATCTAGTAAGGAATTTCAGCTCCAAGCAATTTCTGCAGCTTAGTTCATAAGAAAACCCAATAACCATACCACTGTACTTCCAATCACACCATTTAGCTGTCAAAGTTACTATGCAGCTGAGACTATAATAAGCATTATGTAAATGGAAAATATACTTATTAGAGAACATCAAAATCCTGCAAAAGGAAGAAACAAAGGTATCACTTGCCCAAATCTGGTTGAAGTATTAAGACATGAAACCAGACACTTCCTTAAATCAAGATTTAAGATTTTCTTTCTGTGAGGATGCAATGGGGCAAATGCAATGACAAAATTCAAATACAAACAATTCCAATACTCAAGCAACCAATCTTAACAGAAATATCAAAATACCATTACTGAACACAAACTCTCCATTTGCCACCTCTATATAACTTCATTCTTCTCTATTCTTCACTTCTTTTCAGCATACTAAACCCTCAGCTGTCCATGAAGGACAACCGTCAGTGCTGTCAATTAGCAACATAGAGAACCATAAATCTCAATTTGGCACCCCTACCTTGTACTCAAGGTACTTATCTTATTCTAGATAAAAGGTGTTATATGTTTCTCTTAACACTGAAAGACCAATAAACATATGAATATTAAGTAACATAATGAAAGTAAAATATTCTACAGCTGTCCTCACTATCCTTGAGGGGACTGGTTCCAGAACCCCCATGGATACCAAGATCCTCACATACTAAGTTTCAAAGTTGGTCTTCCTGCAGAGCCTATGTATATGAAAAGCTGGCCTTCCATATATGCAGGTTTTACATCCCATGAATACTGTATTTTAAATCTGCATTTCATGCAGAACCCACTAATACAAAGTACTGACTTTACTGACTTAAGGGTCAACTGTATATTGTCTATTTCATCAATTCCATTTTATTAACAGATATGATAAAGAGTTTATACTTTCAAAAGATGTACTTACCTATTAAAAAGCAAAACAGTAAGGTGAAGGGTAACATCACTACCACTGCACACCGCTGGCTTCATTGTCTGAATGTACCTGAGGGCTCGTCTGTGCTCGCCCTGACTCATGAATGCCTGAATAATCTTTGAGTGTTGCCATGACAAAGGTTTCGCAGTAGCTGGATGAAACAAAAGATCCAAGCCACTCTGGAAATAACACGAAAAGTGTTCAAGACAAGCATAATCCCATACAAGTAGCTAAACCCCACACTAAAAACCACAAAAACCAAGACAAGACCAGTTTAAACATAGGCTGAAAAAAATCTACTTTAACCTGTGTTATACAGAGTTGGCCCTCAGAATCTACAGGATCCATGTCTGCAGACTGAATAAATGCAGATAGAAAATATTTGAAAAAATAAGGCTGAGCATGGTGGCTCATGCCTGCTGTAATCCCTGCACTTTGGGAGGCCAAGACAGGCGGATTGCTTGAGCTCAGGAGTTCAACATCAGCATGGGCAATGCGGCAAAACCCCATCTTTAAAATGAACAAAAAAAAGTTTTTAGAAAAATTTACAAGGCCAGGTGTGGTGGCTCATGCCTATAATCCCAGCACTGTGGGAGGCTGAGGTGAGCAGATCACCTGAGGCCAGTTCAAGACCAGCCTGGCCAACATAGTGAAACCCAACTCTAGTAAAAATATAAAAATTAGGCAGGCATGGTGGTGCATACCTGTAGTCCCAGCTACTCGGGAGGCTGAGGCAGGAGAATCACTTGAACCCAGGAGGCAGAGGCTGCAGTGAGCCAAGATTGCGCCACTACACTCCAGCCTGGGAGACACAGCAAGACTGCATCTCAAAACTAATAAATAAAAATGAAAAGGATTACTTAAAATACCCAATGAAATGTAAATACCATGTAAATAACTGTTATATTGTAATGTCTAGGGACTCATGACAAGAAAAATGTCTGTACATGTTCAGTACAGACACAGTATTTTCCCCTCAGTATTTCTGATGTGTGGTTGACTGAATCCATGGATTTAGACTCCATGAACACAGAGGGCCAATAGTATACAAGAGGATGTGCACAGGATAGAAGCAACTACTATGCCATTGATTACAAGAGACACGAGCCTCCGAATTTTGGTATGTTTCTGGATCCTGGAACCAATTCCACACAGATACTGAGTGATAACTGTATTTTATTTTAAAAATAAAAGCCTTATCAAAAACCTGATACCTTTGAGACCCTATTACACTATTTTATAAGATCTTCCCATCACAAGTTTCATACATCAAAGCCTAATCTTGCCTTCTATGGTTCACTCAACACCCCAAACATATCTCCAATATAACAATCACTGTACCTATACTATCATAATTATTTACTTAGTAGTTTCCTTCTTTAAACAGTAAGAAACCTGGGGTTCTGAACTGTTAGCTTTATATTCTTCGCTTAAAAATAGTGCTTGGTGAAGGTACTATTTAAAGTGAGACTTTCTTCAACTACCTCTGGAAGTAGACTGTATCATATCTTTTAATATCAAATTTAAATTATGTGTATTGTCTAAAATTCTAGTAATTTATGAAAGTTTGTGCTGTAAGTGGATAGACTTACCTCATAGTCATTATGATCTATTAACCAAAACCCCTGAATAAGTTTAACTTGGCCCCAAGAAATGGCAAATACAGTTGGGAAAGATTCAATTGAAGTATCCGTTTTGTTGGGAAAGGAATACATAATATCAAGTAGAAAATAAATGGTCTTTTAAAACGTGGATTAAGGACAACAAACAACAACAACAAAAACCTCCTACATATATATTTAGAATAGGTAGCAATGAAATGTAGCATTAAGAGACTTAAAAGACCTCTTTTCAGTGTTTAGAAAGCCATCATGGACAGTCAGCAATGAGAAGTTTTAGTAAATGTGGGTACAACCCGTCCCACACCAACCCCTTTCATTCTCAGTATTTTATTACCCGTATCACAAAGGACATAAAGCATATTTTTATGAAGTCAGCAGCTTAATAAATACAAGAAACAAAGATATATGCAAAATTCTAGTGATGCAGCAAAAGATGGCAGCCGTAGCAAATATAACCTAGCTTATAAACTGTAAATGGAATTATACATTTTTAGACTATGCAAGTAACATTAGCACAAAAATATTATCACAAAGACTACAGGACTCAAATAATGCCTAAGGTACTAATACACTAACTGATAATGTATTCATTTCCAGCACATAGGTTAATGCCACTGAGAATGATCATTTGGTAGTAGCATTTTAGAGCAACTGTTGTTACTTTTTGAGTGTCTTAGACACATTTAAGAATCTGATAAAAGCCAAGTACCCTATCCCTAGAAAAACAAATCTAAAACAAAAGTTTGCATATAATTTTAGGTTAATCATAGGCCATCTGAGCTCAAACAACAGATCCTGGGTTAACATCTCTTAAAAAAAAAAAAAAAAAATTCAATCTTGAAATTGAGATTAGATATCAGGCTTCTACTACTGTGAAATTTATAATTTTAATAATACAGAAACACTGGATAAAATTTAAAAAGATACAATAGAATGTTTGGCTGCTTCAGTAATGCCGTCTAACAGGTACATATCAAGTAGTGCCTGTAAAACAAAGGGATAAAACCTTCAGTACATTTTATGCAGTCATTCATTCATTCATGCTCCTTGTTTTCCCCAGTCTGTGCCAGAATACAGCTAAGCATGTTTCCTCCCTCCCCAACTTTATAGGTTATAGGTGATAGCACATTACTGCAAACCTACATGTAGACTAGGAGGAGGGTATCTTCCTGTGCCTCCTCCATCTCGTTTCCACAACTTCTCAATTCGCTCTCCTAACTGAGAAACCAGTCCATCGATCATCAAGCAATCAGGGTTCCACTTCCCTCTGCAATCAGGGAAAAGTTAAGACTTATTTAATATTACCGTTAATTAATATCCAAACAACCAGCACAACTATCAAAGAGAGAAGAGGCCAGGCATGGTGGCTGATGCCTGTAATTCCAGTGATTTGAGAGGCCGGGGCAGGAGGACTGCTCAAGGTCAGGAGTTTGAGACCATCCTGGGCAACACAGCAAGGCCCAATTTCTAAAAAAAATATAAAAGTTAGCTGGGCATGGAGGTGTGCACCTGTCGTCCTAGCTACTCTGGAGAATGAGGAAGGAGGATTGCTTGAACCCAGGAGTTCGAAGTTAAAGTGAGCTATACACATGCCACTGCACTCCAACCTGGGCGACAGAATGAGACCCTATCTCTAAAAACAGAGAGACAGAGAGAGAAAGAGAGAAGAGAATTGGGAATTGGACCCTAGTTAGCATGACGAGAACTACAGACATCAAGAGTTAGTCAGATAAACCCTTAAGCTGCCTCAAGTTCAGTCATCAGCAAGCCGGTAACAGCAAGCCAGTCAGTCAGGGTGAGGTCCCAGGGGAGAATGTGGTCCAGCTAGCCAGTGACCATTCTATTTTTCACCATATTAAGCAAACTACCATAAAGCCCGGTGCAGTGAAAATACTAAAGTTCAAAGTCAAAGAGTTATAGTTTGTTTCATCACTTGTGTTAGCCTTTTATCCTCAGTGATTCCTTCACTCAAAAATATATTACTGAGTGCCTACAATGTGATATGCAGATACTGTCCCTATGTCCTTTCCTTTTTCTTTTTTCCCCTGTATTTCCTTTTCTAATTGTGAAAAGCAGCAGCACTTACTACCTTTTGAGGCTGTCCAATGAGTCAGGCATTATACTAGGTGCCCTGCACATATTTTATTTAGCTTTATACTGACTTTGTAGCTTGTATAACAAATAGGATTAGAAAGCATAACAAAGCTGCCAAGGATATACACTTAGGAAATAACAGATCTAGAATTTTAAAATATGCCTAAGCAATCTCCCAAGCTAATGTTCACTGTTATTCTACAGCACTGGTTTCCACAATTGCCATGCATCAGAATTACAGCTGGCATAGATTTTAAAGTACTTGGTGATTCAGGTGTAAGAAACCTGGAATCAACATTTGTGAATTGCTGCTCTAAATGTTATATGCTCTGTAATTTTGTCATTGCAACTTTATGAAGAAGACTATTTCCAGAAGTGTGGTCAAGACTCTAAGCACCACTCTTTCTTCGTCTATTACCTTTACTTCTTTATTTCAAAGGAACTAAGTAGCTCATTCATGTGTTCTTTTTTTAAACATGAAAGAAAGAAAATAGTAATGGTGGTATCAAATTCTGATACTTTACTGAGAATTCTATCCATTCAATCACTTTGTAACATGAACACTGTTCTGAGAAAGTCTGACTTCTTACAGACATAACTTCTAAAACGGGTTTTACTATACCTTGATAAACGCTCAAACTTCTGTCGCCGACTGGTGTAGTAGTTCTGAATGACGGGATAGTTGTAGCATAACCTTGACAACTGCACAGCATCATCTAGATTTTTAAGAGTTGGAAAAAAAGCTGGTAGTATTTCCAAAATATCTCAATAATACATATTAATACTTTACTGTAATTTTATAGTTATAGCAACCCCCAGTTAACCCACAGGGTTGTTATATTTAAGTAATAAAAGATTACTACATATCTTTTTATTTATAGATGCACAAGCGAGAAAATGATCTGTCATGAAAGTCTGTAACAACAAGGACGCCGGCTTAAAATCCTGAAAACTGTTCTAAATAATTTTACTCCTTAGGCACAAATAATAATTTGAAACCAAGAAATGTTCACTACAAATCAAAATCTAAGAGAATTATGAAAAAATAAGATCAATAATTATGTACAGTGGCAGAGACACTTCTAAATAAAATCTAATGGCTTCCTGGAAATCCAAGAAGTTGAAGACTTTAGAAGTTATATTCTAAACAAATACAGCACAAGTCAAACACCAAGAATTCTCTAATTCTTGGTACTGGCATAAATTATTAGATAAAACAGGTTATTTAATTGAAGAAATATTAGTTAGTAACCATATGAAAAAGACCATTACCAGGAAACAGGCAAATTGTGTCATAGAAACTATAGTTCTATGGATCTACCATAGCTAGTAATATTGCTGAACTCATTTTCAGGAGCCACGTTCTCAAATATGCTTTCTTTCTAAATGTTACTCAATCCAGTAAGTGTGTTATGAGCACTGTGTATCAGGCATGGGATGAAGATAAAAAGTAAGGAAGAAAGTAAGAAAAGAAGGAAGCACAGGAGAAAAAACTAAGTGAGGTAGAAGAAAGGAAATCCAAAGCATTAGAATACAATAACAAAATCATAAAGACTCAGAATGTTTCAATTTATACACATAGATTAAGTAAATATTTTACCTATGCCTTCTGGTAAAAGCCCAGAATGAGAGAACCAAAGCAGCACTTGTGCATACTGACAGATGAGGTGGGAAACCACAAACTTATTGCTTAAGTCTATCAGTCCTGTAAAAAAGAGTTCACATCAGTTGTTTAGCTACAAAAAAAAAAAATCAAGATGCTCCAGTGTTCAAAATTAATCACTTGCTAATTTACAAATGTATATTATATATGTAATATATATGTGATCAAGATATATCTAGTTTACTTTGGTCCAAAATAATGTCAAGCAAATCTTCAAAATGCTAAAATAAATAAGTCACTTCCTAAAATAGACATTTTAGGTAAATACGCTTCAACCTCAGCTACACTTCCATTTACCTAATTCTAGAACTCAAATTTACTAATACAAATTAGCATAAGGTCACTAATACAGACTGTTCAAAACAGGCCTTTACATGAAATTGGCTTGTTTGGGTTTTGAAATTGCAAAACAGAAAAAAATTATAATAACTTATTTGAATAAAAACCATACATATGATTTAACAATTTGAAACTTCACTGGAAATACATTAACCTTAATAATCATTAACTTCAGAATTTCCCAACCTCATTTAAGTATCGGCTCATGGCACGTCTAACAACATTCCGTAGCTTTTCATTAAAACAAAGAAACAAACAAAAACCCTAGCACTGGAGAAATAACGTCCTCTTTACATAGTGATCCATCTAAGTCATGGGAAATGTATTTGTTTCCGTAAGTCAAGAAGTAAAATTTAATAAAACACTCATTTGATAAAACAGCATACCTCTCTCAGTGATCTCTCGGGCTTCTGATGCAAAACAGTTCAAGACTATATTAAGATTGCTAAGAAGCACATAACATTGCTGGATAGACTGTATAGTCTGTGGATCCATGAAATGACGCGAACCATCAAATAATGGCACACCTTTCAAGAATAAAATATAAGTTTCCATACATTAAATCTAAGCAAAGTAGATTCACAATGCAAAATATCTCAAACTTCTAACACTCAAAAGAATTACTCTATTCATTATGAGATTTATAAAAACAAGCTAGAAATGGCAAAACTTTCAATGAACCTAAAAAGTGCTTTTAATACAAAACCAGCAAAAGAGTGAGAATATGAACTCAAATAATCTACATCTAAAAACAACTGTTTTAATTCTAAAATCCTTCTTTAAATCAAATTCTATTTTGCTTTACTTTTTTCTTTTTTTGGGAGATAGTGTCTTGCTCTGTTGCCCAGGCTACAATGGAGTGGTGTGATCTTGGCTCACTGCAACTTCTCCCTACCAGGTTCCAGCAATTCTCCTGCCTCAGGCTACCAAGTAGCTGGGATTAAAGGTGTGCACACCCAGCTAATTTTTGCATTTTTGATAGAGATGAGGTTTCACCATGTTGGCCAGGCTGGTCTCAAACTCCTGACCTCAGCTGATCCACTGGCCTCAGCCTTCCAAAGTGCTGAGATTACAGGTGTGAGGCACCACACCTGACCTTATTCGCTTTACTTCTAATACTTTTTTTTTTTTTTTTGAGACAGGGTAGGCTGGAGTGCAATGGTACGATTACAGCTCACTGCACTCAAACTCCTGACCTCAAGTGCTCCTCCTAGCTCACTGGAGCTGGGACTACAGGCATGTGCCACCACACCCAGCTAATTAAAACAACAACACTTTTTTTTTTTTGAAGAGATGGTTGGAGGTGGTCTTGCTATGTTGCTCAGGTTGGTCCTGAACTCCTGGCCTCAAGCAATCCTCTCATCTTAGCCTCCTGAAGTGCAGGGATTACAGGCCTGAGCCAGCATGCCTAATCTCTCATACATTTAAAGCACTTACTATGCTTTCTATTTTAATTATTCTTAGAAGTTTTTCTTTAAAAAAAAAAAAAAGAAAAAGACAACATACCAGGAATAAAGCTCAAAGCAGCTTAAACAGCTGAACTGCCAAGTTAAAACCCAAAGCACTGCACTATGCTCAAAGAATGACAAAAGCCATGCAATTTATTAATTGAGCTGAATTTTTTACAAAACATATAATGAGCTCTGATAAACATTTTCCTCTTAAAAAAAAAAAGACATTTTTACTCTGATCCTAAATTATCAAGTGTTCTTCCAGACTTCAATTGTACTGATTACTGAAATACTTAAATTATTTCACGCCAATAATTTCATAAGTATAGCCTACAAATACTAGAAAGCTCCACGTTTTCCTACCAACCTTGATTGGTTTAAAACTCCTCTACTAAGAATAACTTACATTGTGAAAAGCTATCTATAGTCAAATGATTTCAAAAGTCCATTTGCTTATTCCTCATGACACAATAGAAATGACTAAACATGTATCTAAATAAACTTATATTTTACTTTCACTTACAGCGCAACTGTCTAATTACTAGTACTTTTAGCATTATTTTTGCACTAACTGGACATGATAGGATTTTGATATTCATGACATACCTCAAGATTTAATCAAAATGTACAACAGACTAATAAAACTGTCAAGAAGAAAAAGGATTTGCCATGATGATAATGACATCTGTCCGTGGAGGATAGTGGTAATACATTTTTACCCTGCCATTCAACTTCATCATTTCTATCAATATTTTAAATAGAAAGTGAGTAAGTACAGAAACTTTTGAGGGTTACCTAGCACCTTCTCCTTACTCCATCATCAGTCTATTTAATAAATTAAACTCCCAAGACCAAAAGACAAGTTATAACCCTAAAACCTGTTATTGTAGGCATGCATATCAGCATGTTGCCAGTTTAACAACCTGCTGCGAAATCTTGGTCAAAAATTACTTTGGGCTGGATGCAGTGGCTCATGCCTTGTAATGCCAACACTTTGAAAGGCCCAGGCAGGAGGATCACTTGAGGCCAGAAGTTGAAGCCTGGCCTGGGCAATAAAGAGAGACCATGTCTCTACAAAAAATAGAACAATTAGCTGGGCGTGGCAGCATGTGCTTGTGGTCCAAGCTACTCAGGAGGCTGAAGCGGAGGCTGACTTGGGCTCGAGAAAGGTCAAGGCTGCAGTAAGCCATGAACTCACCACTGTTCTCCTCCTGCCTGGGCAATAAATGAGACAGTGTCTCAAAAAATAAATAAATAAATAAATAAATAATAAAAAAGAAAACAAAAGAAAAAAAAATTACTTTTCTCATTTTAATGTAAAAAGAAATAATTTTCTTGTGGGACACTTCAAATTTTAAGAGTTTACAACTTCAAAATGATTAAAAATTATGTATTTAAAACATAAACCAAGATTAGTGTTTTAATATTAAATTCTGCCCTATATCTAGAATTATAATACTTACATAGTCTGTCAAACTCCTCTTTTGTGAGAACCACTTTATTCCACGTCCATTCAAGAACAAAGCGCAAATTAGCAGCAGAGTTTGGTTGTTCTTATTTGTAAATACAAAAGGAAAAAATAAAGATTATTGATTACAGACAGAATTCCAAATTTTCAGTGGAAAAACATGGCATACAGCACCCTAACCAAGTGAACATCAACACTTAATGGCGGCAAATTGATTCAGTGTACCCCCCACTTCAGTGCATCACATCAGGGAGCACGTCATTTTAGGTACTACTGCCATCAAAAACGTAAAAACTCTAATTTCATCATGAGGAGAGACTGGTACACACAAACTAAACGGCTTAAAATTTAAATTTATTTTATACACCGATTTCTTTAAAAAAAAAAAAAAAAAAGCCAATTTTTTGAAAGACAAAGTGACAAAATGTAGAAGATCAACGGAAATTATAAAAACAAATACAAAGCATTCTGGATCTCTTTTCCAAAATACTAAATACAAGCATAATTCTGAACTCTCTCTCCGCTCTAAATCGCTATGAATATTACTGGGATTTCAATAAGGTCTCTAGATTAGATAAAGTCTTGATTTTCTTGAGTTTTTTTTTTAAATGATCACAAAGTGGTTTTGTAAGAGAGTGTCCTTATTCTTAGAAGAAAGAAAAACCAAAATATTTATGGGTTGAAAAAGAGTGATATCTTATAATCAAATGGTTCAGGAAAAAACTATCCTCAAATGGTTCTGAACAGAAGATATTATGTGTTTGAGATGTGCGTGTATATGTGTGAAGAGTAACAGTGATGCAGACAATAATTTGGATGAATTACTAGAGAATTTTGCTTAATAAAAAAGGTAATCCCAAAAGGTTGCATACTGCATAATTCCATTTATGAGTATGTTTAAAATGACAAAATTATAGAAAGAAAATAGATTCGTGGTTGCCAGTGGTTAAGGATGGGGCAGAGGGGAGGCAGGTATGGCTACGAAAGGGCAACATGAGGTATCCTGATTGTGATTACTGCACTAAAAAGATTTGTCAGATCATACCACTGTGGGAAAACGTGCTAAAGGGTGCGGCATCTCTCCGTTATATCTTACAACTGTGTGTGGATCTACAATTATATCCAAGTAAAAATAACTAAGAAAAACATACAACAAATTGTGAACTGATAATTTTAAAAATACCAAACATTTTAATTGTTAAAAACCAGAATCTTACCTTCTGTTATCCATCTTCTGATATAACCAGTCAAAAGTCCCAGGGAACTAGTCTGAATTGCTGCCGACAATATAGCTTCTAACTGTTCTTCCTAAACCATGCATTATAAAAACGAAAGAAATGGAAAGAAAGAGGGTGTGAGATCATAGGCAAGTTCTGGTTCAGAATAAAAAAATCTTAAGGCCAAAAAAAATCAGTATAACCCATAAGAATGGCTATAATCAAAACAATAACCAGCACTGGTAAGGATGTGTTAAAACTGGAACTCTCATACACTGCTGGTGGGAATGTAAAATGGTACAGCCACTTTGCAAAATGGCAGTTTCTCAATGTGCTAAACGTAGAGTTACCATATGACCCACCAATTCCACACCTAGGTATATATCGAAAAGAAAGAAAAATACACGCCCCCACAAAAATTTCACATAAAGGATCACAGCACCATTATTAATTAATAGCCATAAAGTGGAAACAACCCAACTGTCCATTAATTGTAGATAAACAAATTATGGCATACTCATACACTAGAATATTACATAGCCATAAAAAGGGGTGATGTTCTGATACTTGCTGTAACACAGATGAACCTTGAAAACATGCTAAATGAAAGAAGACAGTCACAAAAGACTACATATTATTTGACCCATTTATATGAAATGTCTAGAATAGGTCAATCTATAAAGACAGAAAGTACATTAGTAGTTATTTAAAGCTGGGTGGGATGGGGCAGGCAGGAAGACAAGGGAAAAGTGGTGACTATTTATAGGTACAGAATTTTCTTTAGAAGTAATAAAAATGTCCTAAAATGGAATGTGATGACAGTTGCAGAATTCTGTGAATTTTTTTTTTTTTTTTTTTGAGACGGAATTTCGCTCTTGTTACCCAGGCTGGAGTGCAATGGCGCAATCTCGGCTCACCGCAACCTCCACCTCCTGGGTTCAGGCAATTCTCCTGCCTCAGCCTCCTGAGTAGCTGGGATTACAGGCACGCGCCACCATGCCCAGCTAATTTTTTGTAGTTTTAGTAGAGACGGGGTTTCACCGTGTTGACCAGGATGGTCTCGATCTCTTGACCTCGTGATCCACCCGCCTTGGCCTCCCAAAGTGCTGGGATTACAGGCGTGAGCCACCGCGCCCGGCCTGATAATTCTGTGAATTAAAACCACCAAACTGTACACTTTAAAGCTAATAATTTAAAAATCACCGAGTCTGGTTTATATCAAAGGAATCTATTAATTTCATTCATTACAGGAGCAAATTAAAAGATTTTTCAAAAAGGACTCACATGAATATAAATTAAATAGGTACAGAGGGAATTACAGCACGATAAGGGTCCACAAAACCTAAGAAGGCATAATTCTAAACGGAGACTCACTGAAGCCATTTACATTAATACCAGGGACAAAACAAAAACATCTGCTACTAACATTATTATCCTATAGTTTACAGAAGTTCTACAACATACAATGAGAAAAGTAACTGGCCAGGCACAGTGGCTCACACCTGTAATCCCAGAACTTTGGGAGGCCAATGCAAGCAGATCACTTGAGGTCAGTAGTTTGAGACCAGCCTGACCAACATGCGGAAACTTCATCTCTATTAAAAATAAAAAATTAGCCGGGTGTGGTGGCAGACACCTGTAGTTCCAGCTACTTAGGAGGCTCAGGCAGGAGAATCGCTTGAACCCAGGAGGTTGGAGGTTGCAGTGAGCCAAGACTGCACCATGACCATGCCATTGCATTCCAGCCTGATGCAGCCATGATGTGCTTCCTGTCCTATATCCTTCTACACAGCTAAGTGAATCTGCTGCCAAGTTATGGCCTATTGGGTATTAAGAATAGGAATTTTAAGCCAAACCCAAGACCCCAACTACCGATCACCCAGAGTGGGCATTACACTTCTTCATCTACTTTTGCAGAAATTCTCTAATACGCCGGGCGCGGTGGCTCAAGCCTGTAATCCCAGCACTTTGGGAGGCCGAGGCGGGTGGATCATAAGGTCAAGAGATCGAGACCATCCTGGTCAACATGGTGAAACCCCGTCTCTACTAAAAATACAAAACATTAGCTGGGCATGGTGGCACGTGCCTGTAATCCCAGCTACTCAGGAGGCTGAGGCAGGAGAATTGCCTGAACCCAGGAGGCGGAGGTTGCAGCGAGCTGAGATCGCGCTATTGCACTCCAGCCTGGGTAACAAGAGCGAAACTCCATCTCAAAAAAGTTCAGACGTGTGCGAAATTCTCTAATACATTTTTTTTATAAAAAAAGCTAATTTATATGATCCAAGAGAAAGAAACAGTAGAGTTAAAAATCATCTCACTTGGCTTAAACTGGAAGGCTGAATATCAACAAATCTTGGGGAAAGAAGACCAGCTACAAGACATCGATTATAACCATCAGGAATGACTTCATTGAGAGATGCTCCTGATTTCTTTAAAAAAGTCAAAGTCTGTAACAGATAAATTAGTAAGATATCAATCAATCAATCCTCAATCTGAATCATCAAATTTAAATTTCATAAATTACACATAAAATTTAAAGACAGCGAATGGAAATTATAAAAGACTATTTTCTTGCAAGGAACAGAGTTTATAGGTTCTTAAGCTTAACTAATGCTTGCTAGTTGTGAATGATAATACTATTAGCAAAAGATAGCTTATATATTTTTATGAACTGTATAACCCTGTTATCTTCTCTAAAGCTGACAGACTTGGTGACATCTCAACTAAACCGATACACACAGAGAAAAAACTCCTGCAGTCTATTCCTCTTTACCCAAAGTAAATGAGATTTGACACAAAGTATAAATATAGCATTCATCCACATCCCGCTGATTATGAAAGAAAAGGTCTGCCACACCATGCTTCCCTAGAAAAGTATTTTTCAGGACAGGCACTGTGGTTCACCCTTGTAATCCCAACACTTTGAGAGGCTGAGGCAGGTGGATCACCTGAGGTCAGGAGTTTGAAACCAGCCTGGCCAACATGGTGAAACCCTGTCTCTACTAAAAATACAAAAAAATTAGCTGGTGTGGTGGCAGGTGCCTGTAATTCCAGCTACTCAGGAGGCAGAGACAGGAGAATCACTTGAACCTGGGAGGTGGAGGTTGCAGTGAGCCAAGATCATGCCACTGCACTCCAGCCTGGTCAACAAGACCGAAATTCCACCATCAAACAAAACAAAACAAAAAAACATTTTTCAACATCCTTTTGTTTTTTTTTTCCTGTGCCAGGCACTGTACCACTCTACTAGATACCTTCTTTGTATTACTTAATTTCCTCATAAGCTTTCTGAGAAGACAGAAAGCTTGAAGTTCAAGTAGTTAAATTACCATCCACATAAATTACCTGCTAAAAACATTCAACATGTCTTCTGGCAGGTTGTCATTAGTAACTGATACTACTAGTTGCTAATCTCATAAACCTAGCAGAAGCTGCCATTTAAGCTGAAACAACTGTAAGTATAACTAACACTAACTAAAACTTAACTCCGTAATTCAACTGTACTCTAAGATCTGGCTTCAGTTCAATTAGGAAATCACCATTTGTTACCTACCTCCTTCTGAAAGCCAGTACAAGTTACATGAAGAACTCCTGAGTTTAACAAACAAGTGGCTTCTAAAAAAAAAAGATTTAAAAAATAATCCACTTACATATATTTAAAATGGCATTAACAGAACAAAATTTATCCAAACAGACTGCAAGACGTCAAATTATTACATGTAATAAATCTTTAAATAAACTTTTCTAGATATTTTCATCCTAAGAATGGATAACAAACCTATTACACAGCAAAACAACAATAATAAAGCAAAAACCAAAACCCCAAAACTCCAGCACAGCTGAGAAACACGGCAAAAAAATAAAAACTATTATAAAATGCATCAGATGTGAAATAGTTAATTATCTTTCCTAGAAAGTTCAAAATAAGTCATAATTCATTTATAAAACATGTAAATACTAAATTTCTTGTGTGCATGTATGAGTTTCCTAAGTTATTCATATGTTAACAGTGAGATATAAACAGATAACACTAAACGTATAAACTACAAAATGTATACAATTATGTACTTTTGTGCATACGAAAGGTAATGTTAAGGAAATACATACCAAAATTATAAGTACTTGGATTAAAAAACTGCTCAGGAGGTGGATATGAAGGAGGGAATCCTCGATTTAAACTTCTCTCATGTACTAATATATCCAAGATGTCATGTGGAGAAGTTCGACTTACAACAGACTCCAATGACCACAGTGCAAAATAAGAGCAATTATGTAGATGTTCTCCTGACCTAAAAGAAAAATTTAAACATTACTAAGTCATTGATCAGCTATACATACAAATACCAGAGAGATGAGAAAAAAAGAAAAAGAATCATACCTTAACGAATCTGGCATTTGTGCATGATACCAACGATTTATATCGAAAAGCCCCAAATATATAGAAGGCCTTCCCTGTCCATATATATTCACCTGCCAGGTAAAGACTGAAACACTAGTGTCAGGAGACAGAGCTGAAAGAAAAAAAGGTAATTTTAAAATATAGAATAAAGAATCTCAAAGTAAAATCACCTCAACAGAATTATAGCAAGGTTTTCTCATAAATTTCTAAGAGGTTTAATTCATATTTCATTTGATTCATCAAAAATGCATTTCTAACATTTGTATATAAGATCACATTCATTCACTTGCATCTGGACTGTTTCTCAATTTTAAGATCTTATGAAACGGTACTCACTCATCAGAAGTTATATCCTTCTTTTCAGTTAATACTTGAGCAACGCTGAGGTATTAGAGGCAGAAAGTCTAAAATAATTTGAATGAATAGTCTCTCTGCCAAGGATGATACAGAGCTAGTACTAGAGAAGTCACTTCACTACCTAAAATGGAAGCCTTTGGGCATGAAGGCTTTAATTATTTAGATGAACCTTAGTTGAAAAGGACTTATCTAGTTGTATGGTAAAGGGGGAAAAAGACAAGTGCTTGGATAGTGCCTGTGGAATGGAAAGACGGGAATACAGTAAGAGAATCAACAGGAGAAGAAGTAAAAACCTGAAACACTACTATAATAGAAAAAATGGGGAATAAGAGAGAGGATGGCCAGGTGCAGTGGCTCACACTTGTAATCCCAGCAATTTGGAAGGCCAAGGTGGGCAGATCGACTCAGCCCAGAAATTTCGGACCAGCCCTGGTAACACAGCAAAACCTCATCTCCACACACACACACAAAAAAAAAAAATTAAAAAAATTAGCCAGGCACCGCGGCATGCACCTATAGTCCCAGGTACTCAGGAGGCTGCGGTGGGAGGAACACTTGAACCTGGGAAGCAGAGGTTACAGTGAGCCAAGATCGCGCCACTGCACTGCAGCCTGGGCAACAGTTGAGACCCTGACACCCTGTCACTACAAAAAATACAAAAATTAGATTGGGCACGGTGGCTCACGCCTGTAATCCTAGCACTTTGGGGGCCTGAGGTGGGTGGATCACCAGAGGTCAGGAGTTCAAGACCAGCCTGGCCATCATGGTGAAACCCCATCTACAAAAATAAAATAAAATAAAAAAAACAAAAATTAGCAAGGTGTGGTGGTGTGTGTCTTTAGTCCCAGTTACTTGGGAGGCTGAGATGGGAAGATTGCCTGAGCCCAGAGGGTCAAGGCTATAGTGAGCCAAGATTGTACCACCACATTCTGGCCTGGCCTGGCCTGGGCAAGAGTGAGACCCTGTCTCTAAATAAATAAATAAAATTTCTAAAAAGACGTGAGCTCATGACAAGCTGTTTTTCACATGTTTAACTGGATCTGAAACCTGAATCAGAAGTACAGATACAGACCCTAGCAAAGAGGACATCTGTAGGTAAACCACTGTAACAGTGGATTCCAATAAGAACATAAATACAACCAGGGCCCTGGTGAGCACTTCCAGAAAGGAATGAGCCTGTCATGCTATTTCATTTAAACCTCACAACTACCCTTTGCCAAAGGTCTAACTGTATTATCCCACTTACAGATGGAGAAACAGGGCTCTGAAATGTCAAAGGTCATGGCTAGTGATAGGGCTGCTAGATGATAATGCTGGCTTAAAAAACATGCAAATTTTACTATGCTGGAAAAAGCGATGACACTAAAGTTAACAGAAAACATTCAAAACAACCAAGGACCGTGTGCCACAAACGGCTCAAAAAATACGCAGGTAAACGTTATCCAAAGACTAGTCACACTAGCTCAGACTAGGGACCACCTTTGCCTGTCCGTTTGAGAACTAGATTAAAGAAAAGGGTCCTTCAGTCCCCTAACCTATTTTGTTTTTTAGTTCTCCATAGCAATCTGGGGAGCAAGAAATATCTAGTATCTCATATAGATCTGAATAAATTCTATAATTACTAATTTTCTTAACTGCCAGGAGTATGAAATCTAGAAAAAATACCTGTCATAAATCTTAAATCAAGCCTTCACATGACAAAATTAAGAGTACTTTAACTAACCTTCATTCATGCCTTCCTCCCTGTCACCGTGAGATCGAAACTTCTCTATACTCTGGCATCCCAACAATTTGGTATTACTCGTCTGTCCCCTCAAAGGAAACATGCCACCTGTCAGGTCCAGAGTGTATCTTTCTTCACAGTACTCTAAGCCCTATAACATAAAATGCACACAAATATTAATCTGATTCTAGGCAAAAGGCCATTCTAAAATTAAATATTCTCCAAATTTAAAGATTGTTCACACAATACAAAGAAAACAGTTTTAGACTGAAGAGAACAAATCACAGGAGAAGCCTCTAAAATTTTATATACTTTAAAATAAAAAGTGAGATTTAGTCTCTCAAAAATCATTACCAACAAGTCTTCTAGAGTTGTTATTAAAGAAAGAAGCTCTCATGCACTACTGGTTGATGTATAAACTGGAATAACAATCTAAATTATATATGCATACATCCCAGACCAGCAATCCTATAGCTGTGTTCTCACAGAAATTCTTAATTCTTAGGCCTTTTTTTAAGCTTATTGATACTTTTAGGAATCTGACAAAAGGCTCTGAGACTTCCCATAAAAATGCATCATCATAAAAATGCCATACATAATTCAGGGGGTTTATGGATTCTCTGAAACCAATTTATATACCCCTCAAACATTAGGTTAAGAAAAATCAGTTCTAGAGACAGGTATGTGAGGGTGTACAAAACATGGCTATTAGCAGCACCCCCACTACTTCCTCAGAAATTCAGCCAGAAAAACAAGTAGCCATCTAAAAGTCTAGATGCATATACCCTCTTATAAAAATCACCCCATGGCTTAATGCTTGGTATGTTAGAGCAACGAAGTCCAATTATTTTTCCTGGGTATCAATTAAGCTACAAGCCTGAGTCTACTCCAGTTCCCTCACTGTAGAGGAAAATGACACATGAGAAGTTAATAGTGCTACCTTGGTAAATAAGTAAAACAGATCTCTAATCTATTGGATATCCTGATCTAGAAATAAAAGAAGATCTCTAACAATACTACTTCTACTCTATTATGAAAACAATACTAACTTGGATATCAGAATAGCTTTTCAATATCTTGAAATAAAGACAACACATTTAAAATAGAAAAACAACCAAATGGTAATATAAACCCATAGTACAATAACCATTTACCTCATATAAGATTTGTCCTGATGCCAAACACTTTCTATCACCAAAGGCCAGTTGCAGCAGATGCAAACTCAAAATATCCCCTTCACTGAAACAGAAATTAACCAAAATGCACTAAATATATTAATACATTAAACATCTCTTACTGTCCAAGTGAGTTTAGTTTGCTTACAATGTTGAGAGCATGTGACAAAACTAAGATCACTGTGAAGAATTTAGTATTATTTGGTTGTTTTCATAAAATGTAATCCTTTGAAATAACTGATTTATATTTTTTATTAATTCTAATCAACTAAATTGATGCTGTTTGCATACTGTAGGTGATATCTTAAGTGGCAAAGACTGATTACTCAAATATTCTTTCTTAAATATTCCTTCCTCAATGGGCGTACTCTAGACACATGGCTGCCTGAAGTTCCAAGACATTTCTCAGCTTCCTTTGCAGCTAGGTGCAGTAGCCCTGCAGTAAAGTTGTGGCCAGGTGAAAACAGAATTATCCCATGGTAACCTCAGAGAACCTTCCTTAATGGACAAAATGTCCTTTGTGCCTTTGTCCTGGTCTCTTCCTCCATCTTGGTATTCTTTTACTTAAAATGCAGATGTTCAAAGGATGGTGGGCAGTGTAGGGCAGAGAAAAGGCGGTTGGGGGAAGGGTGGGGGAAAAATTTTTTTAAATGTGGATGTTGCCCAAGACCACGAAGATGAGGCCTATACAATAAAGACACAAAGTGAAGATACTAGAACCCTGCAGTACTCAAGCATGAAGCATGCAGTAAGTGTTAAGAGCACAGATTCCAGAGCCGCATCATCTGAATTTGAATCTTATTACTAGTTGATCCCTTTTAATAACTCCTATTACTAGTTCTTAATTCTTTTACTGGCTTCTAGCATAACACACCTTCCTAAAGTTCCTCACACCGCACTTCTCAGTCCTCAGTCCACTGCTGAGTACCTAGCTCTCTTGTTCTCAATCTCCAAGTACACTTAAAAGAATAAGGGAGCAGGGTACTGAGACTAAGAACAAGAGAGCAGCATACCTGGAGGGTTCTCTTATTCTGTGAAAAACATGCAAATAAGTTAAGCACAATTTCTTCTGATACCTCAGAATTATTCAAGCATGTAGAAACAACCATTTAACTTTTAAAACAACTTCAACTACAACTCACTAATTCACTGAAAGAATTGTCTTCACTAAAAAAGACTACATAAGTGCAAAGCTTTCCAAGAAAAATTAAAACCTGTTCTATTTTTGACTAGTTTTTAAATATCATATATATCAGACCTACCTATCTTGTGTAGACTGAACAGCCCACAAATAACAGCAATTACGAGGATCATTCTCGGGTTCCTGAAAAGTGACAGCATATACAGGAACTCTTCCACTTTCCAACTGTATGTAATATCTGAAACAGACAAATTAGCACATTTCATATTTTTAAGTTATTTTATAGAAAGGAAAAAGGTACATCAAGTAAGAATTTGGGTTAAGCAACCAACTGTTCATACAGTCCCTCAAAATGAGTGATCTGTGAGGCATGGCCAAGTCATCTTATCTGCAAAAATACACAGGGGACAAGACATCAAGACCATAGTCATGGCACCCATCCCCCAGAGATAGAGCTGGGAAGAGTCAGAATTACTAAAGTGTATGCGTTTAGGTATGTGTAAACTGGTCCTAAGAGACATATTCGACATACACCACTACATATTGCTCACCCACAAAAGGTACACTACAAAGAGATGAGATACTGCCATAACACTTTTCAGCTGCTTGGGTTTAGTGTCAGTTCCCCCACTACTACAACAGAAGATGAGTTAGAAACTGAAGAGTCCCCATAAACTCCTAAAAAAGCAAAAACTGACCAAGAGATGATAGCGTTAAAGAAAGCACTGCTGTAGAAGCCAGGTACTCCAGGTATTTCTTTAGAAGCAAATTCAAAGGCAAGAGCTGATAAAAGGATAACAGCAAAGAGAGTTGAGATGCACTTCCCATAAAATAAATTACTCAAGAGAACATAGCATTATGCCTCAGGAAAAATAGAGAAAGAAATAAACTGACAAGTGCGAAAGAGGCATCTACTTAACTCTTAACAAAAATTAACTTAGCTACAAAGTATCAATATAATTACATTTTGGGGACTTTTTTAAAGCATAAAAAATTGGAAATCCAAGTATTTTGTAATTTTGATTTTTAAGAATCTTTTTTTTCCTCTCAACCGAGAATATTTTTTAAGCTGTTACTTTCCATAGATAATTACTGGGAAGGTATTTCTGAAAGAACTCATACTATACACAGTCATGTGTCACTTAACAACAAGGGATCTGTTCTGAGAAATGCTCGTTAGGGATTCAGCCATTGTGCGAACATCATGCAGTCTGGTAACACAAACCTAGATGGTATTGCCTACTATATACCTAGGCTAGATGGTATAGCCTGTTGCTCCTAAGTCTACCAACCTGTATAGCATGTTACTGCATTAAATACTGCAGACAACTATAACACAATGCTAAGTATTTATGTATCTAAATATTTAAAGGGCATTATCAAAATGCAGTATAATTTTATGAGCCATCCTTCTTATAGAAGTTCTGTTGTTTCCCAAAACATTGTAAAGTTACAAAGTCATACTAGCATGTTATTAAACACAATGACTGTAATGCCTTTTAAGTAAACACTGAAAAAAAAATCAAGCTAAATTCACGTGCTAAGTCACTCCTTTATGGTATTCAAATTGATTTAATGCCATGAAAAATTAGTCATACTCAATCATTCAAACATTAATCTACCCACCCTTTTTTCACTATGCTAATTTTCAAATATTAGTAACTGAACACAAGCTATATGCAAAAAGAGACTACCTATAATCAAATAAGGGAAAAAGTTACGCTTACTCTCTTTTCATGCTTTTCATGTTCCAGAGTGCTAGATAGCCATCAGAGAAACCTACAGCAAGCTGGTTGGTCCTGCTGATGTAGCTAAGAGTTGAAATGGCTGTTCCTGTCGGACTTACTAACTGGAAACACAGATGGCGCCCTTCTCTCATCACACTGTCTCTAATGTGCGGTACTTCAGCTGGGACACCACTTAGAACTTCAAGATCTAAAAACACAAATTAGACAAATGCGGTTAAAAAACTATAAACAGCATTAAAAACAAATGTGTCATCCATTATTCAAGCTACAAATGAAGTCAACTGAGTTAAATGAAGGTAACTGAAATTAAAAGTTTAGTGATAACAAAAGTATGTTAAACTAGAAAACTGCCATCCTTAACTATTTAAATGCTAAAATTTAAAAAATACATTTAATTATAAAATTTTAAAAAATTCTCTAGTCAGGTGCAGCGGCTCACGTCTGTTATCCCAGCACTTTGGGAGGTTGAGTCGGGTGGATCATGAGGTCAAGAGATCAAGACCATCCTGGCCAACATGATGAAACCCCCATCTCTACTAAAAATATAAAAAATTAGCTGGGCATGGTGGCACATGCCTGTAGTCCCAGCTGCTCGGGGGGCTGAGACAGGAGAATTGCTTGAACCCAGGAGGTGGAGGTTGCGGTGAGCCAAGATTGCACTACTGCACTCCAGCCTGGCGACAGAGTGAGACTCTGTCTCAAAAAAAAAAAAAAAAAAAAAAAAAATTCTCTCAGTACATCTCAAATTTTATCAAAGGTAGAACTGTTTTATGCCTAACAATAAATAAAACTGATTATTTCTTTATTGAAATTAAGAACTGCTACCTTAATACTTTCATTGGAGCAATGGCTGACTGCAGGTCATGGGGAGGAAAATACATAAATTGAGCCCAGTACATCTTATGCCAGTAATCTAGGAAGCATCACAGATGAAAGGGAATGTATCGACAACATGAAGGGGCTCTCATTACCAAAGACAGGACATTTTGGGCATCAAAAACAATAAAATTAATGAAACACATTAAATATGCTAACCCTCAAAAAGGGGTGTGGGGTGAGGGAGAAGCCTACACTCCCCACCTACAAAAGACCTTATATTGAACCATTGGAAGTAACTTGGTATCACCCATTTACTCTGAAAATTAGTACTTATGAAATAATAAACATTTATCCTGCCTGTTCTGTACACATTGTTGCAGAGTGACCAAAAAGCCCTACTTAATGAGAAAATTATTCTTTACATTGACAGAACATAAAATCATCATTTTGCAGCCTTTAATGAAATAAGTGACTTATCCAAGAATCTTAAGGAAACAATTAGTTCCAAGTATTTGCAATTTTGGCATTACAGTATTCCCTCCCATTATTTGCAGTTTTGCTGTCCAGTTTCAGTTACCCATAGTAAACCATGGTCCAAAAACATTAAACAAAAAATTCTATAAATAAAAAAATTCCTAAGTTTTAAAATGCATACCGCTCTGAGTGGTGTGATGAAATCTGCTACCATCAAAGGAACATAAATTCCTCTGTCTAGTGCACCCACACTGTATATGCCACACTTAGTAGCCATCTTGGTTATCAGATCAACTGTCATAGTACTATAGTGCTTGTGTTCAAGTAACCCTCATTTGACTTAACAATGGCCCCAAAGCACAAAAGTAGTCATGCTGGCAATTCAGATATACCAGAGAAGCTGTAAAGTGCTTCCTTTAAATGAGGCCGTGAGAGTTCTTGACTTAAGGAAAAATCATAATGTGTACAGGGTTCACTACTATCTGTGGTTTGGCCTCCACTGAGGGTCTCAAATGTATCCCTCACAGATAAGGGGGACTACCTGAGGGCTATCCTGTACGCTATAGGACACTAAGCTATATCATTAGTCTCTTAACTACTAGTAGCAAGTAGCACCATCTTCCTCCAGCAGTAACAATCAAAAATGTCTTCTAATATTTCCAAACATCTCCTGGAGGACAAAATTCACCCCCACCCACCACTCACTGAGAACCACTAGTTTAAAGGTTGATGAGAGACTTTAAAAAGGATGAATCATGCTGTCATCAAATCAATCCACTGATCACTAATTGAAACAACTAGACACTATGTCTCCTGATGTGATACAATATAGAACTACTCAGCACTTCCAAAGTACCTTGGCAAAATGTTAAACCTTAGTCTAGAACCAGAGCTAATTTACATTTGCAGAAGATTGAAAATATAAATGATATAACATGAAACCACAGTTAATTCCAAAATGTGGAACATTCTATGAACTAACTTCTTCAGCAAGTCAATGGTACTAAAAATAAAAACAGAGGGCAGAAAGAGGACTGCTGTACATTGTACATTCGAGGAGACTTGAGACATAACTGTCAAATGTAATTAATGTGTGGACTGTGTCTGATTTCCAATCCAAACAATTGGAATGTAAAAAGATGCTTTGAACAATCACATCAATTTGATTATAGACTAGATATCAGACTATACCAAAGAAGTGTTATTAATGTTAGGAATTAATGGCATTATTACTATGTAATAAAATATCCCTATTTGCTTTAAACTAACGCAGAGAAGAGGTAAAGGAGGAAAGAGGAATGAATTAAACAGATACACGTATGGTTAATGTTGAAATTAACTTGAATTTGGGTAACAGGAATACAGGAACTCCTATGTTCTTCTATCTGAAGATGTCTAAATAAAATCTTTAACAAAAAAAGAAAAAAATTCAGACCCACATATTAATATAACCACTGTGCAAGAGCAGATTTTCTCATTGTTATAAAAGGGGAAAACACATCACACTGTCCTAGAGCAGAACCCTCACCTCCAAATCACTTCTGCTTCTGATGTCTTTTTCAGAGAACAAGATATCAGATTTTGCAACAATCAACAGTTCACACGATGGGATACTACAAACTTACTCAAAAGAAACGGGTAAACCCTATGTGTTCTGATGTGGAAAGATATATAAGAAAAGCGGTTAAGTCTGGGGAAGTTGCAGCATACTGCATGTCTGGAACTTCGTTTCCTATCTTGGTGTATTTCAGTGAAGCTTCAACAGTTGTAACCATAAATTACTTTTGTAAACAAAAGCTTAATTTTTTGTGCTATAAAATTCAAGTGCTTGCTAAATGTCAAAATTGGGAAATGGTTGTGATCACAATCCAGAGACTTTCGTTATATAATTATCCTTGTGCACCTACTGATTATCAACCTCCGAAATGTTTTAACACTCCCATATTGACTTGAAGGGAATTTTCATTATGAATATAAGCATTTAATTAGCCTTACACCTAAACTAACCACAAAATACACTCTGAAACAAAAGCCCAGCAAGCCTACTTAATTCTTTGATTGATCTTCTATAAAGAGCAGTCAAACCATTTCTAATAGTCTACAAATTCATTTTTATTGTTTTTGCTAATCAATTCTTTTCATTTAAACATCATGCAAAAACTTTATTAATCAATCAGGTTTGTATACATATCAAATTTTAAGGTATAGCTTCTATCTATGAAGATTTTTTTTAAAGTGCATGTATGACCATTATTTCTGCCAAATCTAATTTTTTCAGGTTGGATTTTGCATATTTTTGTTCAGATGATTTTGGCCCTTCCCTTTCTTGTTAGGTATAGTTTTTTTTTTTTTTGAGATTTTTTTGAGATTGAGTATCGCTTGGTTGCCCAGGCTAGAGTGGTGTCATCTCATTGCAACTTCCACCTCCCAGTTCAAGCGATTCTCCTGCGCCTCAGCCTCCCAAGTGGCTGGGATGGGCAAACACCACCATGCCTGGCTAATTTTTGTATTTTTAGTAAAGACAGGGTTTCACCATGTTGGCCAGGCTGGACTGCTCTCAAACTCCTGACCTCAAGTGATCTGTCCATCTTGGCCTCCCAAAGTGCTGGGGTTATAGATGTGGGCCACTACGCCTAGCCACCAATAGCAGTTTTAATCAATTTTTTTAATACACGGGCAATTTTTATTAGTTACGTACATTATAAACTAGATAAAATATTGACAGTTTGTATCTATTTCTGAGCTGATCAATAAATAAAAAGAGCTACACTGATATTCCAGTCTTAAAAACCAAGAATGTCCTTACAAAGTCAAAGTCAAAATTTTCTCAGGGTCAAATAGTCCTTTTCTAAAAATATACCTATTTCTGAGCTGATCGATAAATAAAAAGAGCTACACTGAGATTCTAGCCTTAAAAACCAAAAATGTCCTCACAAAGTCAAAGTCAAAATTGTTTCAGGGTCAAACAGTCCTTTTCTAAAAATTAAGAGTAAAATACACATTTTTAGGTTAGCTCTTCCTTTCTATATAAACCAGTCTCATAATTTTCAAAAACTGAAAGCACTTGAAAAAAATGTTAATTTTATAAATATAAGCATTTAAAGGAGAAAAATTGTTTTATTTTCTTTGAATCTGAATAGCATTACTTCTATTTTAGGTGTTATTTTGTGAGAAAGACTTTCAATCACTCTGTTATTCCCTATTATTTTATTTCTATCTTGGTGTTACCATAGAAACATAAACGATATGTCAAAAACACTATATAAGATCCTACATTGCAGGATAATTTCATACTGGCTGATAAGAATGAAGATTTCTTATATTTAGCCCTTATTCCAGCATTTATTTATGAGTAGATCTTATTCAGGTATATACACGGAACCGAATGAAATCAATTATCACTACCTTTCTCAAGGCCTAGTTGAGAACATATGAACACTTGATCAACAAAACAGTATCTTATGCAAGAAGTATCCACTGTGCTCAGAATCAAACAATAGAAGAAAAAAGATTTTAAAATACCTTTTTTCAATAGACAGGAAGGTATCTTTTATTTTACTCCAGCTGCTATAAAAAATTTTGGCTACTTTAAAAAATACTGCATCAGAATATCCAGGTGCTCAATTTTTGGTTTCAAGTAAAAAACTGATTACCTGATGCATCGACTTCATTTTGATTGTATGACAAGTCATCCAAACATAGGTCAATAAGAAGGATCTGTCCAACGTCAGTTACCACAGCTGCCACTCCAAAAAGCCATCGCAGACTTGGATGTAAATGCTGAGTACTTGCACTGGCTCCTCCATGATTAATTATAGGTTCGATAGCTGTTACCTAGAAAACATAATACGTAACTTGCTTTTCTTCTGCTAAGTGACAAAATACAATTATAACAGCACAAAAAACTTAAGTTAAAGCAGGTTATCAGTTGTAATGGATTTAAGCACTATTAAATATAGAATAAATCTGCATTTAATACCTGTGATCTGAATAATGAAATCTTCAGATATACTAGAAATTATAACACTATTCAATACATAAGAATCATGCAGTTGGACTAACAATTGATGTTTACTGAGAGCTTACTATATGCCAGGCATTGTGTTAACTGGCTCATTTAATGTTCATGACAATGCTTTGATAGTAGGCTATGTGTGATTATCTCTCTTTAAAGATGAAATAACTCGAGGCTTAGAAAGTTAGTCTAGTTATTCAAGCCATAAAATCATTAAGCATAAAACTCAAACCTAAATTGTTCTCACTTTAAAGCTCTTAAACAGCCACTCTAGGATTATATAGCCTTTTCTCATAAGAGTAAAAACTAATCATTCCAGAAAAATTTACTGTTTACTCTTTAAAAAAATAAAAAGATTTTTTAAAAATTATTTTTTATTATACTTTAAGTTCTGAGGTACATAAGCAGAACATGCAGGTCTGTTACATAGGTATACATGTGCCATGGTGTTTTGCTGCACCCCATCAACCCGTCATCCACAAAAAAGGTGTTTTAAGTCCTCTTTATACCTTAAAGACTGAAGAGGCCTAAACTTTATTTAAAAGAGTGATATCGACCGTGTGTGGTCGCTCATGCCTGTAATGCCAGCACTTTGGGAGGCTGAGGTGGGCGAATCACAAGGTCAGGAGTTCGAGACCAGCCTGACCAACATGGTGAAACCCTGTCTCTGCTAAAAATACAAAAAATTCACTAGGCATGGTGGTGGGTGCCTGTAATCCCAGCTATTTGGGAGGCTGAAGCAGGAGAATCACTTGAACCTAGGAGGCAGAGGTTGCACTGAGCAGAGGCTGCAACACTGCACTCCAGCCCAGGCAACAAAGGTGAGACTCCATCTCAAGAAAAAGAGAGAAAAAAGAAAATTACTTTACCAGTGACTTGCAAAGGAGTCCCTAATTACAAACAAGGCCATTCAAAATTTGAATCCTCACCGTTTCTGTCCCCACTTTTTCCTTCCCCTTACTCCTCTTCAGCCATTCTAAATTAAGTCCAGTTTCCCAAATGCTCCATGTACTATTATTTTTCCATGCCAGGCTCTTTATCTAAAATGTCCAACTCTTTAGAAATTATCCATTCTACATGTTCCAAGTGCTTACATTTATCAAAGTATTCATTATATTTATGCTATAATCTTATTCATTCACCTTTTCTCACTAGACTATAAGTTCTTTAAAAGCACAGACCAAGTTCAATTTATTTATCTTGAGAATCTAGCATATATTTTCCATAATGCTCCAAGACTGTAGTCTCCAAAGGAAAAAACATTTTAAAAATTACATAGTAATGAATACATTTTTATAAACTTTGAGTGTCCTCACAGAACACAACTGGAGATAAGAACAAGATTTAGATGATATTTGTCACAAAAAGAGTATCAGAACATTAGATGTCATTGCTATTTTTACTCTGGAATGTTTTAACCAATAAGGAAGTTACATTTTAAATGTTAGGTTCCTTGAATAACATCATTTTTAGCCTCATTTTGATTCTAAACACTTTACCTATGAGTAACACATTTACGTAACAGTACACAAGTTATAAATGTTGTTGGTCAATAAAATTTCAAAGTAAACACATGTATAACCAGCAGGAGTTCAGTTTTGAAAAAGAATGTCCAGTTATCTTAAACAGTACCTACCCTTCCAGGAAGAACAACTGCTTTAACTACTTTTGATATTCCAAGGTCATAAAGACAGAGAACACTCCCTTCTGTTTCTTCCAGTCCTATTAAAAATCCAGTTCTCTTCTGCCAAGAGAATTCTTTCACAGCTAAGACTACAGGAGGCTGTTCACCGACTCCGCTGAATCTGTAGGCAGACAACCGCTCTCCTGTCATAGAGTTTACTACCTCCAGTTGTGGCCCACAAGCCAAGCAAGCAAGTCCATTTTTCCCTAGATGAAAAAAAATTGCTTATTTTAATACTGTATATACACAACAAATAGCAGTTAGCTCATTTAAATATAAATATGTATGTTCATTATGAAATCTAAGCATTTATACAACATAGTGATCCTCAAGTTGGTAAAACAAATCAAGCACTATCATTGTAATAATAATAGTCATTCAGTAAAAGCCACCACGGTATATGCTTGAATACATTATTTCATCTATTCCTCATCACACCTCAATATAGCAATAAGACAGCTAAACCTTAATACAGTTTAACCTGTCCAAAGTCAAAAAGCAGCACAGCCAGAAGTAGATCTCAGGTCTGTTTAACTCCAAAACTCATGCTTTAACTACTCTATTATACCTTAAACGATTTAAACTAGGAGCTATGGAAGCTATAAAATATAACACATTATTCTAGCTCTAAAGAGTTCACAGTCCAATTGAGAAATTAAGACATAACTAGCTTAACAATAAGAAATATCAGAACCTCTTTTCCGCCTACTAGTCATGTTTGGATTTTACTCTACCTGCAATGTATTAAGTCACTGGAGGGTCTAAATCAAGTCAGTGACTATGTGATCTGGGTATGTTTTTAAATACTACTCCAGCTGCTAAGCAAAGAATGGACAAGGAGAAGCACACAGTAGCAGCAGGCAAAAGACGACACCAGCCTAGTGACTAGACAGAGAAAGGTGGGTTGACTGGAGATTCATCTTAGGGGTAGAGCTAACTGGATTTGCTTGCTGATGAATTACACACAGGAAGGTGAGTAAAATGAGAATCAAGAACAGACCCCAGTGGCCGGGCGCGGTGGCTCAAGCCTGTAAGCCCAGCACTTTGGGGAGGCCGAGGCAGGTGGATCACGAGGTCAAGAGATCGAGACCATCCTGGTCAACATGGTGAAACCCCGTCTCTACTAAAAATACAAAAAATTAGCTGGGCATGGTGGCGCGTGCCTGTAATCCCAGCTACTCAGGAGGCTGAGGCAGGAGAATTGCCTGAACCCAGGAGGCAGAGGTTGCGGTGAGCCGAGATCGCGCCATTGCACTCTAGCCTGGGTAACAAGAGTGAAACTCCGTCTCAAAAAAAAAAAAAAAAAAAAAGAACAGACCCCAAATTTCTGCTTGAACAACCAGATGAATGATAACTTTTATTTCTAAATTTGAGATATCCACCAAGCATCCAAGTTGGATAGGTAAGTTTATGGCTAAGGGAGGCCACAGTTTAAGAAAGTAGCATGGCAGTGTGGGGTCTGAGAATGCCAGGGTTCCAAGCTCCTTTCTGATACTTAACTGTGTAACTGGGATCAAATAAACTATTTCATTCTCAGTTACACAGAACAGTGGCTATTTAGAAAAGTTTTATACCTACTCCAATGAAAAGTCATTATACAATGCCTGGCATCTAAAAAGTATTGTTGCTCCTTTTAACATTCAAAAGAATAGCACTGTAAATAGAAAATGACTGATACATATGCTTTACTGTCTGCCTGCTGGGAAGATGGCTATGAAACTTATTTTCAACAGTCTTCTGCAGTGTCCTTCATTAGACTAAGATCTATAAGAGAAGGCTTCTTTAGTATGGTCAGATGTATTATACAATCTAAGTTACATATAAGATCTTGTTCAGGTGAATGAAACTAGAAAATGAGATTTTCTGAAAACGTTTTACTACCAAGGGCCCTAGATTTTTCTACTTATTACACTATTCAGGTTCTAATCCAAATTCATCAACAATAAAACTTCCTAATTATCGAGAAAGACTAGTGGCATGTTATTTCTACTTCCCAAACACAGATAACACTAAGATACAATATATATGGGATTTCCAATAAGGAAAAATGAACTATAACCCCCCAATCAGAGGTTCACTGATAATGTGTTCAAGAGCTTATAGATGTCATATATGTAATTGTAGATCTTAGGTTCTGCTTTTTCTTCTTCCACATAAAGAAAATACAATATATACTTATTATTTATCTTACAAATCAATTGTTATTAGTATATGTTTGGCAACATTATTTTTACCTGCAGCAAACTTGCCACGAAGCACAGATTCTAATGTTATTTCGTCTTCGCCAAGCGCTTGAACAGTCACTTCTGGAAACGGTAGGAGACCACTAGTCACTTGAGCTCTTAGGTTTTGCATACTTCCACTGTAAATATTTTTAAAAGAAAACATTATGATACATTTGTACAGAGTATACTTGATTAGATCCAGAAATCTGGTTACAAAATAGATATTGGCCAGATGTCAGGGCTTGACCCCTGTAAGTCCCAGCTACTTGGGAGGCTGATGCAGGAGGATAAATTGATCCCGGAAGTTCAAGGCTGTGCCCCAGCGAGCTATGACTGTGCCACTGCACTCCAGCGTGAGCAACAAAGCAAAATCCAGTCTCAAAAAAACTGACATGCTTCTGTGACTAAGGTATTCTCTCCTAAGAAAATATTTCCCGAACAGCTTTAGGAAAGTAAACATTCATTAAGCAAGATGTCCTAAGGATATACATTATTCACTAGATTATTTGAACACGAGTTCAGTGCAATCCATCTCACTGTCTAACCTACCTGCAAAGAACACTTCACCACCACCATCCCCCCCAACCCCAAAAAAAAGTGATTGGTATATTTTAGAAAAATTATTTCTGGCCGGGCGCGGTGGCTCACGCCTGTAATCCCAGCACTTTGGGAGGCCAAGGCGGGTGGATCACGAGGTCAAGAGATCGAGATCATCCTGGTCAACATGGTGAAACCCCGTCTCTACTAAAAATACAAAAAATTAGCTGGGCATGGTGGTGCGTGCCTGTAATCCCAGCTACTCAGGAGGCTGAGGCAGGAGAATTGCCTGAACCCAGGAGGCGGACGTTGCGGTGAGCCGAGATCGCGCCATTGCACTCCAGCCTGGGTAACATGATTGAAACTCCGTCTCAAAAAAAAAAAAAAAAATATTATTTCTTCAGTAAAGGGGAAGAAAAATGTGTAAATTCACAGAAACCTCAGAAATTGAGTTTTGTACATATCTGTTGCTAGATAGAAAATATATAAATTGTCTTACATTTAGAAGATCAGGTTCCCAGAATGACTACTCCCATCATAAACAACGAAAAATATTAGTAAAAATACAGAATCATCTTTCTGAATGACTGAGTTGGTTAGCTATCAAATCCAGTCCTGGGAACCGTGATCTTATTTTAGGCACTCTAAGATCCAGGGGCAAGAGATAAAGTCTAGGGCAAAGAGAACTAATAAGAGCCTTCCCTAAACGCCATTACACCTCACCAGGCTATATCGCCTAAAGATGAGCAAGAAAAATACTCATTGTATAGGATGGAAAGTAATAAAGCTGTCCACACTAACCATGGCTCCGAGTCTCTTACTTAGAAAAAGAACATTTTCTTTCACACAAACGTGTGGCCGGAATTCAAGCTATGTTATATGAAATCCTCAAGATAAGAATTTATTATCAAGTATTTTCAAGTTGGTAATGATCCAAGCAACCTACAGAAACAACCACATATCCTGTGAAATCTCAAAGAATTCTCAAAGTTAAAGCAATAAAGAAAATAAGCTCACAGTCCAAATAACAAAACACACAAGGATACCAATAGCCAGCAGAATCCGATTATCAAAGACTTCAGAGACTAGAAAGCAAATTACTAATATATTTGTGTAAATCAGTGCTTTAGCTTCATAAGACTGTAAATGTTACAAAAGAAAAATCAAGTCGATTTGAAAAAAAATTTCTAAAAATGAAAAATTAAAATTAAAACTCAATGGGTGAAAAAACTCAATGGAGTGATGAGAATGAATCACAGCTACATGCAACAATATGAATGAATGTCAGAATATATTATTAAACAATAAAAGCAGCTGGGCACAGTGGCTCACGTCTATAATCCCAGCACTTTGGGAGGCTGAAGCAGGTGGATCACCTAAGGTCAGGAGTTCGAGACTAGCCTGGCCAACATGGTGAAACCCCATCTCCACTAAAAATACAAAAAAAATTAGCTGGGCGTGGTGGCGCATGCCTGCAATCTCAGCTACTTGGGTGAGGCAGGAGAATTGCTTGAACCCAGGAGGCAGAGGTTGCAGTGAGCCAATACACCTGGGCAACAAGAGGGAAACTCCGTCTCAAACAAAACAACACAAAACAATCAAGCAGTAAAAATACATGCAAAATGACATTTATATAAGGTTAAAAAGACATGCAGACAGAAGGTCTGAGAGGCAATAAATGATTATGTCAAAATACTGGTACACACAGTACATCGGAAAAAATCTAAACACTAACTACACAACAATAACAATGGCTGCTGTCTGGGATTTATATAAACCATATAGTCTTCTTACTGCCTAAGACAACAGAAATGCTGGGCAGGGCCAGGCACGATGGCTCGCGCCTGTAACTCCAGCACTTTGGGAGGCCCAGGTAGATGGATCATCTGCAGTCAGGAATTCGAGACCAGCCCAACCAGTATGGTGAAACTCCATCTCTACTGAAAATACAAAAATTAGTTGGTGTGGTGGTGTGCGCCTGCAGTCCCAGCTACTTAGGAGGGTAAGACAGCAGAACTGCTTGAACCTGGGAGGTGGAGGTTGCAATGAGTGGAGATTGCACCAATGCACTCCAGCATGGGCAACAGAGCAAGACTCTGTCTCAATCAATCAATCAATCAATGTGCAAGAATGTACACTATCAGTAGTATTGTGTTTGTTTGTTTTTTGAGACAAGACCTCACTCTCGTCCAGGCTGGAGTGCAGTGGTATTATCACAGCTCAATGCAGCCTCAACCTCCTGGGCTATAGCAATCCTCTCGCCTCAGCCTCCTTAGTAGCTGGGACTACAGGCACATGCCACCATGCCTGGCTAATTTTTTGTTTTGTTTTGTTTTGTTTTAAGTAGAGATGAGGTTTCACTGTATTGTCCATGATGGTCTCAAACTCCTGGGTTCAAGCAATCCTGCCTCGGCCTCCCAAAGTGCTGGGATTACAGGTGTGAGACACCAGCCTATCAATAATATTCTTAATAGCAAAATACTAAATACAATCAAAGGAGAGAATGAAGAAGAACTTACTTTATGAGACAGCAAAAAGAAATTATAATAACTGAAACAACATGATATAGGCTAATAATGGACAAATAGGTCAATGAAACAGATAAAATAATCTAGACACAAAATCACAAAGCTTAGCAGATGATAAAAACCATTTGTATATTTCAATTCAGAGGGGACATGTGGACTATTCAATGAACACCTCTGGGCCTGGCGCAGTGGCTCATGCCTGTAATTGGATCATGCATGGGGTCAGAAGTTCGAGACCAGCCTGGCCAACATGGTGAAACCACGTCTCTACTAAAAATACAAAAATTAGCCAGGCATGGCTAATTCCAAAGAATTCTAACATCCTTTAGTGTGTATGGAGAGAAGTAAAATGAAGGGGGTAAACAGATAACCCTGGGAAAACTCCGTGTCTATAAGTCCCTCATTACGTACAATGCCACGGGACCTCAGCAGAGGGCCGTGTTTCAGGAACTGTGCTGCTTTCTTGGGAGAAAGGTTAAGGCCCAAAGGAGAAGAATATAAATCTGGCAAAAGATGTGAGGTACAAGTAATTACCATTTCTCAGCGTTCCCCCTCCTTTCTATTGAGTGCGGAAAGGACTACATTCAATTCCAACACTCAGCCCAAGCCATTTTCACAGAATAGAATCAACACCATCAAACCGAAACACATATTAAAATAATAGGGTAACAGCCACTTCTGACAGATGTGTTTCTTAATTTTAAAAAATTTATAAACATTTCTGTTAAAAGAACTATTATATTTAACAATTCCTTTCCTTTCAGTTTATTTCTTTTTTCTTTTTTTGAGATGGAATCTTGCTCTGTTACCAGGCTGCAGTGCAGTGGCACAATCTCGGCTCACTACAACCTCTGCCTCCTGGTTCAAGCGACTCTCCTGCCTCAGCCTCCCGAGCAGCTGGGACTACAAGCACGCGCCCCCTAGGCCCAGTTAATTTTTGTAATTTTAGTAGACATGGGGTTTCACCATGTTGGCCAGGCTGGTCTGGATTTCTTGACCTTGTTGTGATCCACCCACCTCGGCTTCCCAAAGTGCTGGGATTACAGATGTGCACCGCCTATTTCTTATAAAATTAACTTTTTTTAAAAAATAGCATTTCATACAATAGTCTTTGAATTCTTCCATCTGTTTATCTTCAAACAGAGATGTCTAAAATAGTCACAAAATATTAGTACCACTTATTTTTGGGTGATGCAAATTTGTGATTTGTTCATTTCAGTATGGCTTGGATTTTTTAAAACATTTTTCTTCTTATAAGGCACAAAGCAACCTAATGTTCTTTCTTGTCATTCTTATTCTCTCCACAGCTTAGTCCCCTCCCCCCAAAAAAATTTATGTGAAAAACACATTTCAAAGATTCATTCAAAAAATTAAAATGCATGAGTTACAATTTTCTGTTCAGGCTATAAATGCTATCTCCTAGACAAAAACTTTAGATAGATTGCCTCAAAAAACTTATCACATATGTCACCATTAAGTCACAAAACCTAAAAAGTTATGTTTGAGATTTCCAAGTCACTAAAAGTAGAAGTTTGTTTTTATTATCCAAAACAGATCCGAAAGTCTAACCTAACATAAGGGGTACATGCATCAACAGGAAGCTATGACCACTAGCCTTCAGCACAAAACCCTCTTATATTTACATGAGGGTCCTATACACAAGCCTTACTTGCTGTTAATAGTTACACAAATTGATCCTATTCATCTCCTCCTAAATAGCTTAGTGCCAAAAAAATTTTTAGGGAAACAGATGGAGAAGGTCAGAATCACATTGTTATTATGATGTTTTCCACTCTGACAGCCTTTTATATAGCTTGATAAAACCAGTTTAATGATGAACTGAAGTTAAAACGTTTTTCCTACTCAACTTAAAACCAAAGTAATTCAAGCAGAACCAAACCCTCCAGAATTCCACACAGCTTTTCCCAAAGTGTATTCAAAGGTGTGCTTACGGACAATAAGCAAAAGAGTTCCATGACCACTCTAATTCAACCAAAATCATCCCAACAGAATTTTGAAAAGATTTTCACAAAATCCAAAGTTCATTTTAAAAGGGTAACACACAGTAAGCA